GCTCCATCTTGACATTTTCTGTGCCTCGCGACAAGCCATCAGCCTAGCTACCCACCATCCCGACATCTCGAATCATCGCAACCGCCACCATGCCCGTCGTCAAGGGTGGTGTGTGGACCAACATCGAGGATGAGATCCTCAAGGCTGCCGTCTCCAAATATGGCCTGAACCAATGGGCCCGCGTGTCTTCGCTGCTCGCGCGCAAGACACCCAAGCAGTGCAAAGCTCGATGGAACGAGTGGCTCGACCCCAGCATCAAAAAGATCGAATGGAGCAAAGACGAAGATGAAAAGCTTCTGCATCTCGCCAAGATTATGCCCACCCAGTGGCGCACTATCGCTCCCATCGTCGGTCGCACCGCCAACCAATGCCTCGAGCGATACCAAAAGCTGCTCGACGAGGCCGAATCCCGCGAATCATCCGCACTTGGATTGATGGGCCCTGATGGCGGCGAAACCCAGGCGCCCAGCGCTGATGATGTTCGGCGACTGCGACCCGGCGAGCTGGACCCCGACCCCGAATCTAAACCTGCTCGACCAGACACCATTGACCTCGATGAAGACGAAAAGGAAATGCTGAGCGAGGCCAGAGCCCGTCTTGCCAATACACAGGGCAAAAAGGCCAAGAGAAAGGCTCGAGAGCGTCAGCAGGAAGAGTCACGACGAATGGCAACCCTGCAAAAGAGACGCGAGCTTAAGACGGCCGGTATCAATATCAAGGTCACGACACGCAAGAAGGGCGAAATGGATTATAATGCCGATATTCCATTCGAGAAAAAGGCAGTTCCCGGGTTCTATGATACGACAGACGAGAAGAACCTCAACGAGGCACAGCTCAGAGCTTTCGATCCTCAAAAGCAGCTCGCTGGCAAGCGCAAGGGTGACGAAGGCGAAGACGGCGAGAGAAAAAAGCGAAAAGGCGACAAGGAGACTCCATCTGATACACAAAAAGCTGCTATCAAGGCCGGTCAAATGCAAAAAATACGAGAAGCAGAGCAGCTCAGCAAGCGACGCGCACTGAATCTGCCTGCGCCCCAGGTCAGCGAAGGCGAACTCGAGGATATTGTCAAAATGGGCAAAATGGGTGAGGCTGCCAATACCAGAGCCCGGCAAAGCGAAAATGATGCCACGCGTGGTTTTGTCAACACATACTCTACTCTAAATAGCGAAACACCGATCCGCACACCCAGAGCGCCCGAGCAGGAAGATCACATTGCAAACGAAATTCGAAACATTCGAGCGCTGAACGATACCAAGTCTGCCCTCCTTGGCGGGGAAAACACTCCTCTCTACGAAGGAGCGAGCTCGACTGGATTTGACGGCATTGCTCCCAGAAAACAGACGACAGCCACGCCTAACCCAATGGCTACGCCAATGGCAACCAACGGTGTCGGCGCCACTCCTGGTCGCCACGGCCAAACACCAATGAGGACTCCTCGTGATACGTTTGCGCTGAATCGTGACAGTGGAATGTCAGTTGCTTCGGCGACACCACAAGATATCAGAAACCGAGAACAATCTATGCGCCATCAGCTGCGATCGGGCCTGGCCGCGCTACCCAGGCCCAAGGATATGGACTTTGAGCTGGAGCTTCCTGAAGAGCAACCCGAGCTCATGACTGCAGAGGAGCGACAAGAAGATGCTGCAGATCGAGATCGTCGAGCACGGGAACGACAGGCAGCCATCGAGGAGCTTGAACGTCGACGCAGGACGCAAGTCATGCAACGTGACCTTCCACGAGCACTTGTCGTCGATGTATCGGCTTTGCTGAAAAACGCTAGCAGTCTAGAAGACGAAGCCGAGTCGCTAATTGCTCAGGAAGCAGCTGTTTTGATAGCCAATGACGCGACTCAGTTCCCTCTGCCCGGATCACAGGTCAAGGGAGCTGCGAAGCCGCTCCCTCACATTGATGATGACGCGCTGGCTGATGCGCGTCTTCTCATAATGTCGGAGACGAAGAAGCTGCCAAGTTTCGAGAGCATTCAGGCCGCCTTTGCTGGTCGTGCCGCCGATGATACCCTGTTGGGACTTGGCTGCTACGCCGACGCTGACGAGGAAGAGCAACAAAACGCCATGAGAGCTTCTTTCCACGTACGTGTACGAATGCTTGCCCGCTACACAGTCCTCGATTCTAACGTGTTACAGATTTGCGAGGACTCGATCATGTCTCTGGCCGAACACGGAGCCAAGCTTGAAAAGAAGCTGAGCCTCCATCTTGGAGGTTACCAAAAACGCCAAAAGATGCTCAAGGATAAGACGGCCGAAGCGGCTGAAGCGCTGGAAAAGGCGCGCATTGCGCTGAGCGGATTCAAGACGCTAGCCATCTCGGAGGATGTCGCCATTAACAGACGCCTCGAGTCCCTCCGGGAGGAGGTGGCCTTTGTCAGTCGTCGCGAGCGTGAGGCGCAGGATAATTATCGCAGGGCAAAGGACGAGCTCGACACGTTAATTGCTGCACGAGGTGCGAACGGATACCATTATTAAGCGAGTGTACACTTTTATTGTTCTGTTTTTGCTTTCTCATTATGTCTCTGGTCTGGGAACAAAACAATTGGACACGGGCAAGAAATTAAGCTGGGGGTTTATGATGCTGGTTGTTCTTGATGTATTCTATCCACGCTATGCAAATAAAGCATCATGGCGACTTTTGTTTGAGGAGTCGTCTTCTCTACCATACTCTGACGATGGCCAGTAGTTAAGTAAGACATGTGTCATGCGGTTTTCCCCGCCGATTCTGCACTTTTATGGCTCAAAAACGTCCTTTTCACGCACTGATTGCGGATGAACCAATTTTGAAAGATGTCGAAAACAATGATGCCATGTTTGAGTGATGATAGCTTACTTTTGCGCAGGCAGACGTTTTAGTTTGATGGGAACCATCAAAACGAAGGAGACGAGGGCCAAGGCGCTCGTCAACATGAATGTCAGACGCAGCGCGGCCTCGTAGCTCTGAATGACCTGCTCGCGGTAAGGCTCTTCAAGCCTGGCGACGACCTCGACGGACCTGCGCACGCTGGCAATGACGTCGTCGCGGCGGTCGCCGTGGACGTTGCGGCGCAGGTGGTGCAGCAGCCCGGCCTGCACGACGAGGCTGCTGGCAGCGACGCCAAGGACGCTGCCAAGGCTGCGCCAGAGCAGCACGGTGCTGGTGACGACGGCGTGCTCGGGCTGCGGGCTGGCGACCAGCAGGGCCATGAAGGAGCCGGGCAGCTGGAAGCCGGCGCCGAGGCTGCCGGGGAGGAGGGCGAGCCCGTAAAGCGGCGCGGCGAGGCCCCGACGAAGCAGCACCAGCACGAGGTTGCCAATGGCGGTGAGGATGCTGCCGACGAGAAGCGGCCACCGGAGACGCCGCGTGCGGGTGATGAGGAACCCGGTGAAGATGCCGGCGACGGAGGAGGCGACGGATGGGACGACGAGACGCAGGCCAGAGGTCGTGGCGGACGTGAGGAGGACGGCTTGAAAGTAGAGCGGCCTAGGGACCCCACGGTCAGTGAATTCGGAAAAAAAAAAAAAAGCAAAAGGGTGAAAAAGCAAAATTGAGTGAGTTGACACTTGCATGTTGAATAGAATTGCGTTGAAAAGCAACGAGGCGAGAAAGTTGCCAAAGATGAGGTTGGCATGGGGCATCTTTGTGACGAGATGCAGCGGCATGATGGGCTTGGCCGTACGCGACTCGACCCAGAGAAAGGCAGGAAAAGAAACGGCAAAGACGACTATGGAAGCGACGACGATGGGATGAGACCCTACACCAACGTGTTAGTGGAAGGAAGTCGTCTCATGATAAGTCAGACAGCCGAACTTACAAGGAAGGATGTTGCCGCCAAGATTCTACAAAAGCATCCAGTCAGTAACTCTATTCAATTCTTCTCTCTTCTTTTTTTTTTTTTTTTTTTTTTTTGCAAGGACTAAATCATACCAAAGTGAGAATCAATGCCGTCGTCGTGGCCGTAGACAGGCCTGAGCCCACGAGGTCAAACTCACGCAGGGCCTGCAGGACCGTCTTGGCCGGCTTGCTCCAGAGGCCGATATCATCGGGAATGGCCACAAACGACGCCCCAAAGATGAGCAGCAGCGGCGGGACCTGAATGCCAAACTCCCAGCGCCATCCCACCGTCTCGGCGAGCCACCCTCCCGTCGCGGCGCCAATGGCCGAGCCAGCTCCCCACGTGGCGTTGAACAGCGCCTGAAACGAGCTGCGGCGTCTATTACAATTGTCAATCCGGTTAGCAAAGGGGCTTTTTTTTCTTCTTTCATTCATGAACCCCCAAAAGTTCTTCAAGGTCTCTTGTCTTTGAAATAATCATACTCTATCGGGACCAAGTCGCTCGTGATGATGCTCCCCAGCGCAATCGCCGCCCCGGCACCCACTCCGCAAACCACCCGCGCCGCGACAAACGCGCCCAGCGTCGGCGCGACGGCGCACCCGGTGGTGCCGAGCGCCAGCAGGCCGACGCCGCCGACAAAGAGGGGCTTGCGGCCAAGGCTGTCGGAGAGGCGGCCGAGCAGCGGCTGCAGGGCCGTCATGGCGAGGAGAAAGGCGGTGGAGAGCCAGGACGCGGCGTGGGCGGCGCGGAAATGCGACGCGATGACGGGATGCGACGAGGCCATGACGGTGCCGTCGAGGCAGGCGATGAAGAGGGCGCTGAGAATCTGCGCAAAGATGAGCCAGAACCGCGTGGGGGAGACGCCGCCGAGGTAGAGAGACGGCGGAGCGTCGTCGCTGGCAGGAGCATCGTCGTCGCTGCTGCGGCGGAGAAGAGGTGACGTTTCGCCGGGCGGTAGTTCCTCATTGTCATCTTTGTGGTCACCGTTGTTGTCGTCGGGCTTGGTTGCGAGGTTCAAGCTGCTACGCTCGTCATCTTGGTCGTCGGCCGCTGCGCCAGTGCTGGCGCAGGCGGCGGTCGTAGGGTCGAGAGGCGGCAGCAACAGGGCAGGCTGCGGCTCAGCGTCGAGGAGCGGCATGATTGTCGCTTGCAGCGACTGGGAAACGGATCCCGAGGGCCGATGTGAGGACTCGTCCATTACGTCGTGCTGTCGTCGCTGTGAGGAGATTGTAGTAGTAGTAGTAGTTGGCGACATGTTGGGGTTGTGAGATGAACCTGCGCGCGGGGTTCAATACCCGATACCGGACGCAGCAGTCCAGAAGCAGACCTGAGAAGAGAGAGAGATACAAGATGATAGTCCGTAGTGTACCGGGGCCGCAGCAGCTCTCAATACTGACAGCTGAGAAACCTTGGCAAGTATTACGAGCGAGTTCCAACAGGTTGGATTGGTCAGCCTCGCGATGCAATCAGGCAGTAAGCCTTCCCCCCCCCGCCCTCGGAACGGCAAAAAGTAAGATTAAGTTAGAGCAATGTGGCGTTGTGTTATCTAGCACATGCATAGTTACCGGCAGCATGTGCTCTTAACAGAGAATCATTATAGCTCCCTGCCATGAATGGAAAATCGCTTCGGATCTACTACACCCAAGTTCTCTCCTCTCAGCCTCGTCTAGCCAACGAGGCAGATAAGGGCAGCGCTAGCGTTTTGAAAGCTCGTCATTTCGCCGCGGGATTGCTAGATGGAGCAAACTCCACACGCCTATGATCGCCGAAGAAGAATAATTATTACTTGTTGCTCCTCAATTTTTCAAAACTCGGCTGCGTGAGGACGGTAAGTGGTTTGGGGTTGAAAGCAGCAAGATGCATCATCGGGTTATGGGAGCAAGCACCGCACATGTCTCGGAAAGATTCTATGCCTTTTTTTTTTCTCTTTTTTTTGCATTACACAAGTGTAACATGCCGCTTTGGCCATGATTGTTTTGAACAGAACCGTAGAAGCCAATCGTTGACAAAGAGGGCTGCTCCGTGGTTTGTAAGGTGGGTGAGTGAGGCCTTTACGGCGTTGGTTGGGCGCAAAACATGAGACGACGTTGGCCTTGATAATGCAAGATTCAGCGTGACGACCTATTCTTAAAACGAGAAACCTCAAACCAGATTGGTGCGATCCACGTCGTTGCCGACTATACGCCTCCAGTATCTGCTAAACGCGCGGCCCAATGCCCTCGTGCTTACCCCAGGCTCGGGCAATTACACGCTTCTGAGACTAACAAGCGTATATTCGGTGCATAGAAAGAGTCAGATAAAGGCACACCGAAAAAAAAAAGACTCAACCGGGACTAGACATGAATGGTAGATGAAGCGCCATGTTCCAGAAATGAAAAGCTCAATGTAACCGCACGCCGAGACTAGGAAACTTGAAACATTTTCCCGGTGCTCACGTTGGCTCTCTCCCATCTCTTCCCTCGCATCAAGCAGTTCATCAATCGCGCAGGCCATTGAACATGATACAACCACCAGAATGGCCAGGGATCCCAGACCGTAAATGTGCCATCCTTCCAGTAGAGTACATGCTCGATAAACAATGCAAATTGCAAAACAACGTCGTTGATACTGGCCATTCCATCCCAAAACAGTCGGTATAGAGGGCAAAACACCTGCTCAACCAAGTCTTGCCCAACCCAGTAGTATCGCTGTACATGCTGCGGGTACAAGATGTCGTCATCCGTGTCGACGTCTGCCTCTAGGACCGAGAGATAGCGGTCGACAAGCTGCCGCGTATCCCGAAACAGCACAACAGCCGTGTGCACTCTGGGATTGCACTCGATGGGGTAGATTTGCTCCGTCTCTTTGCCAGAGGAGCTTCCCTCGCCAGGCTTGACCATGAAATCAAAACTCAAGTGTCCCGTGAAGCCCTCTCCGGCGTGCTCCGCAACGGACATGGTGAAGCGACGCATCGACTCGCTCAGCGTTGAATTTTCCGGCAAAGCTGCATAGTGCATCAACACATTGGCAGACTGGCAAGCGACAAAAGCCTTGACGCGTCCGCGAACCACCAAAGAATGGGTGCAGTATTCATCGCCCTGGATAAACTCTTGTGCAACGAATGAAGAGACCTTGTTAAAGTTGAGCGCATCGACGCGAGCCAACGTCTCCTTTTCGGTGGAAAGAGGCAAGAGAGGCATGTCAAGTCTCGCCGCGTCATTTACCCCCACGGGCTTGATCAAGTACAGAGTCGTCTCCGGTTTCCGGGAAAGACTGCCGCCGCGGCTGCGGAGGAACGAGAGTAGCTCATCTTGGCTGTCGATTCGACGGCTGTCGGGGACCTTGAGGCCTAGTTTTCGCACGTGGTCGATGAATGCATCTTTATCATCCAAGATCTTCACATGCTGCGAGTCAAACTGAATGGCTTTGGCTTTGGTGCGCTGTTCAATTACATGCTTGGCAATGGAATCTTGCAAGGCTGAGCTGACGCCCGACACGGACACCCACAGGTCAATATTTTCAGTCTCGACAATGCGCAGCAAGGCTTTTGCGTATTCCGAGGGCTCCCCCGTCCGAGTGCTCAGATCTGAAGCCGGAGCCGGTAAATGGTAGAATGTACAGACGGCGCGCGACACACGGCCGCAGGCCAAGCCGTCAACGTCGGCTCCAATCACGACATGACCCTGTTGATGAAACAGACGCGCAAGTTCAAGGCCCTTTGACATGGAAACCCCCGTGACCAGAATTCTCTTCCTTGATGACTGCGATTGTTCAAGTCGGTCATTCTGATTGAATAAAACATTATAGATGGACACTGCCAAGATCACGGCAGTAGTGGCAGGAGCCAGACACAAGGCAAGACAGAGAAGAAACGCATTTTGAAAAACATGCTTGGCATTTGATTGCTTCATTGTAGATGGTTTCTTGATCTTTCTGACAATGTAAACATGCTTCAACGAGTTGTCAAGGTGGCGCGTGGTAAAAGTCGTTTGGTATTTGTGCGTACAAGTGTAGGCGTCATCGGACCGCATTTGGTCTTGGGGATCTCCGCCCACCCAACATATTTCAGTGTATGCAGTGAAAACCAAACATGGGAGCAAACGACTTTTCCATCTTTGCAGATGCTAGTCTATTATGGTGTGAATCATGGATGGAGATGCACTTGTGGTCTGAACTCAAAAGATTGCGCAATGGCAACTCATTAGGCCAAACATTGCCAGCATACTACATGAGAAATTGCATGATGCCATGGACTTCAACTAGCACGGCAAGGTGCTAAATTTGCATACAATCACATTAACCTAGTTTAGAATATGCATCTTGCATTCAATTACTGCCTCTAGTTTACATACAGCCCTCATACGAATAGAGGCGGATTAGCAAGGGCAATTATCCGACACAAATGGTAATTTCAACACCGTCCTGGAAATAATCAGCATCTACACTCATTACAAACCTTTTTAGATTCCAAAACTCACCGGGATGCCAGTCGGCTCAAAGCTCTGGATCAGCTCACTTTCGTAGACGAGCTCCGGATTCCCCCTCACCACACCACCACCACCGCCACCGTCGTGGTCGTGGTCGTTCGCCGCCGCCGCCTTCGCCGCCTTCGCCGCCCGCCTCTTGGTCTCTACACTACTCCTCACATACGCCAAATACGGCGGATTTCCCGGCTTAATGACATTATCCGCCACAATGACCGCGCCCCGGCCCACAAAGCCCAGCTGCTCGCAGAGCTGCAGGTCGGGCAGGTACGCGGGCTTGTAATGATCCAGAAACAGCACGTCGATGCGCTCCAGCCGGCCCGACGCGTGCAGCGCGCGCAGCGAGTGACTGCTCGGGCCGACGACGATGTCGACAAAGGAACCCAGGCCGGCGAGGTCGATGAGGGCGCGCGCGATGCGGGCAAACTCGGCGCTGCGCTCCAGGCAAATGTATGCTTGGGCACCCGCGGCGCGGGCGGCGTTGCCAAAGAGAATGGCAGAGTATCCGACGTAGCCGCCAAGCTCAACCTGTTTTTACCATTATAGTAAGCGTTTCGGTGTGGTGTAGTAAAAAGAAAAAATAAAAAAAAAATAACAAAAAAACTTTGGCGTGTGTGTCCTCACCATGACTTTTGGTTGTGTCTCGTGAATCACCCTGGTGACTATGGCTCCCTTGTCCTCGCCAATATTCATCAGATATTTTTCCTGCCGTCCAAACTCGTCAATAGCGGCAAGGACTTTCTGAGGAGAGCCTCGCAACTTCTCAATGTCTGGCCGAGACTGGACATGATCAAGTAGCTGCGCTTCTCGCCCGTCGTTGAAAAACACCTCCTCTTGCTGAGCATATGCCTTTGAGGGGTCGAAACTGGCAGCAGGCGACATGGTAAAATCTGCAAGACTTTTGAAAGATGATGTTTTTTTTTCCCAACGATTCAAATCTCCTCGTGACAACAGAAAGAAGAAAAGATGCTTCCAGCAATACACACACACACACACACACACACCGCGTTTTAGAGCGCGTCTTCGTTTCCCCCCCCCTTCAACCGCGTCGTCTCGCGAACCCCCAATCAACACATTGTCGTCACTGCGGCCGCGTTTGCATCGACGGACCCGTCTACCGTGTCATGAATGACGCGTCCATTTTGCCATTCCTACCTACCCCCGATCCTCAACAGGTTCGTCTTCTCTTCATCCCCCCGGGCTACACTAGCGACTAGGTGAACAAGTCTGCGAGCACATGGTGTGAAGCAGTTGAGTTGTCCCGAGATCGACGTCTTTGGTCCACACCACCCGTCCCCGTTTTAAACGGCACTTGGGCTGCACGTCGATTGAACATGTGCCGCTGTCTCAGTCCGTCAACACGCAAGCGTTGACTGATGACGGGTTGACTTGCGGCCTTTTTCGTCACAGAAGAGAAAAAATAAAGGTTTATTTTTGGCATGTCTGTGTGGGCTGCGCGTGAATCCTCCCAAATGCGCCAAAAGTTTCGGCTGCATTTGGTACAGATGGCGTCCACACGACGTCAGCAATCTGCCAGTTCCAAGGCGGGTAGATTAGCATCCTTGTTGCAGATGAGGGCAGAAATCTCAGTAGCTTATGTCAATGATCGGACGCATCAAGAACCCCCCACAGATTCGGAAACGGCTCCGTTTAGACTTTGGATCTTACCGATCTTGGAGGGCAAAATAGACTCCAATGATCGCTTGCCTCCAATTGACTTGGCTCAAACGTTGCTTCTTGCGTGCAAGAGCATGTAACTACATGCTCCAACTTCAAATGGCAGCCCGCATCCGCTTGGGTATTTGATAAGAAACAAAACCTTGTCACGCAAAAGTCCCCATTCTAACCAAACACCACATCTTTTGCATCGTGAATAAGCGGAAACCCCTACTACCAAAAATCGACTTTCATCATGTCAGACTTCAAGGCGTCCGTTGAGCCAACGAGCAATGGCTTCGCGGTTTGTGGCTATGAGAAAATTGAATACGACTTTGAATTCCTCGATGGAGTTTTCAACGTCGCCCATCCTCAGTTGGCAGAAAACTACAAGCCTTGGGGCCGTTGCCTGGCCATCATGGACCTGAACATTTCCAACCTCTACGGGCAGCAGATTCAGCAGTATTTTGAACACTATGCCATCGATCTCAAGGTCCACAGAACCATGATTGGCGAAAAGGCAAAGAGCATGGAAACAATGCTCAGCATTGTAGACTCCATGACTGAATTCGGCGTGTACCGCAAAGAGCCCGTCCTGGTTGTGGGCGGCGGTCTCGTCACCGACGTGGCTGGGTGAGTGCGACGCATAATGAAGCCCTCCGAGCATTACCAGTGAAACTAACGACATGGCAGCTTCGCTTGTGCTGCATATCGCCGAAACACAAACTACATCCGTGTACCGACCACCGTCATTGGACTCATCGACGCCTCCGTCTCCATCAAGGTCGCCGTCAACTACGGCAACTACAAGAACCGTCTGGGAGCATACCACGCCCCTGCCAAGACGTTTCTCGACTTCACTTTCCTCAAGACCCTACCCGAGGCCCAAATTCGCAACGGATTCGCTGAGCTCATCAAGATATCCTCGTGCGCCCACAAGGACACCTTTGATCTCCTCGACGAGTATTGCGAGGATCTCATCCGTACCGCCTTTGGCAGGCTTGGCTCGTCCAATGCCAACGTCAAGGTGGCTGCCGATAAAATCTGCCGAGCTGGCATCCATGTGATGCTCAAGCTCGAGACGCCCAACCTGCACGAAATCATGCTTGACCGCGTCATTGCATACGGACACACGTAAGAGACATGGCCTCTTAGTCTCCCCTTGACATGATATATGACTAACTCGCATGTAAAGTTGGTCACCCACGCACGAGCTCGTTCCGGACCCTCCTCTCCGTCACGGTCACGCCATCTCCGTCGACATGGCCTTTTCCGCCACCCTCAGCTTCATCCGCGGCAAGCTCTCCCAGGCCGACCACCTACGGCTCCTCCGCCTCTTCTCCCGCGCCGGCCTGTCCATGGACCACGCCGACTTTGACGACGCGCTGCTCGCCGAGGCCACGGCCGCCATCCTCAAGACGCGCAACGGCAAGCTGCGCGCCGCCGTGCCCGTGAGCCCCATGGGCGACTGCGTCTTCCTCAACGACGTGAGCCACGAGGAAATGTGCGCCGCGCTCAAGGCCCACAAGGAGATTATGAAGGAGTTTCCGCGCGAGGGAGCCGGCATCGACGCCTACGTCGACGCGAGCGACACGGGCTACACGTTGGGCGGGGAGCCTGTCGAGGCCATGATGGAGCAGCTCGGTGCCAAGGACGGCATGGATACGCCTCGCGTGCTAAAGGAGATGACGGTGCAGATTCCGGGACTCTCTGTTCAAGCGTGAGCGTCTTTAACGCACTTTGCCAAGTGCCCTCTACTTGGCCTGCAGTTTCTACTCACAAGTTGGAGTGACAATGCTAGAGCTTGAATGTGCGAGCAATTTGGTTGACCTGGTCAGAAACACGAGAGACAAAGCTAGCGTGCACATGGCTTTCAAACTTACTAGAGTAAAGATTAGCGAAATGTGTATCGTGCGTTAGTGGCAGTGGCGAGATGAGAACGGAAAATTGCTTCCATGCGTTCGCCGGACCTTTATATAGAACCACATTCGCCGCGTCTTCGCTCCAAGGCCAAGACCTCGTCCCTATCAAGAGCTTGATCTCATCAATGGCGTAAACAACTCGCGGCTGCCGGTCAAATCCAATCATTCCTATTCACGAATTCAGTAGAGTACTCACGCATTGCGTCTGCTGTTTCTCAGCCATCGTATCACCATCACCAGTCCTTCCGCTACAGAGTCAAAGCCAGTTGCCAATGTCTAATAATGATGCAGTGCGTATATACCGTCTATCCTTGTATGCCAAACTAACATCAATCCCTCGCGTCCATGTGCTAGTACTTTAAAATAGCCTAAACACCACTACGCCGCCTCCGTCGTTGTGCTGACCGACGCCGCAGACACCAAGATGCCGGCCCCGGTGATGCCACCGTCGTGGCAGGGGCTCAAAACGATCCGGAGCCCCTCTGTCATGTCAAAACGCTTCTGAACAAGCTCATCGATGAAGTGCTGACAATCCTGTAGGTAATCCTGAAAGTGCACGATGCAGCCGCCCGTGTATCCCACGCCGAGCTCCCTTGGCGTCGCCGCCACCTCTGTCGCATTGGCTGGCAGCTCTTCGGAGAGCATCAAGAGTGCCAGCGTTCCCGCGGCAATGATACCAGCAGCGCGAACCTCGATTGCCTTGGCGATTCTGTAAAGCGCCTCCGCGAGGTGTTTCGTCCAGAGGAAGCCGTCTTTTCCTGTTGATTCGGGCAGCTCAGCACGAAGGCTTGCGAGAAGCTTGCCATGTTCAAGAGGCTTGAAATGGCTCAGAAATGTCGTCGAGAGCCCATGTCGTTGTAGCAAGGCGAAAGGCAGCGTCTTTCGGGCAATGCACAACGTGTTGACCATGTAATCCACCAACATGATGCGTCCGAGCTCACCCAGATACCGCCCGGACGACATGTACTCCAGCGGCTGAAAGCCAGGAATCTCGGTCTGTGTGGAGAGCTGGTCGTCCCAAAATGTAATGAGACCGAGTTTCCGCATTGGGGGCGCCGTACCGTTGATACTCCACTCCGTGTTGACGGCGATCTTGGCATCGCTGAGGCTCTCGCCATCTAGGACATTAATATTTCTGGGCCATTTGCTTCGGTGTAATAGACTCAGTCTCAGTGGCACTGTCGCATTGGAGCCGGTTCCTAAAATCAAGCCCATGCTAGCGCGTTGGTGTGCGGCTCCGCCAAAGTTGTAAATAAACGAGACGAGAGTTGACACAGAGTCATTTGAAATGGCTGTCACTTTGATATCAGGCAGTTGAGCCGGCTTAGATTCAGCGTATCCCCTTTCAAGGCTGGCTCCAAGATCGGTGTTGGGAGCAATGGTGAAGCCCTTTCCCATGGATGTGACAGTCGCTTCAGCGAGAGAATGCTGCTGAGACGGGAAGCTAAAAGTCACACCCATGGGAAGTAGCTCGCTGTTCGATAAACCAAGCTCGTCGTACGCCTCGCCGACAACCTCGGCGATATGCTTGCCTATCCAGAGAAAGAGGGCATCTGCGTTGTCGTTTTTAAGTTGGTCATCAATAGGCCATGACTTTTCAAAAAGGCGTCGAATGCGGGGTGGCGGCGCATTCGTGCCATTTGTATGGGCACTCCCGTTGGTTCCATTGATTCCGTTGATGCCATTGGCGCCATTCGTCTTGGTCTCGCCATGCTTTCCAAGAAGCTCGATGAAGCCTACTCTGAGATTAGTTCCGCCACTGTGTGCGATTAGTGACGGTGCAGTAGCCAAGGTCGCGTGACATTCTTACATGTCAATGGCGAGATTTCTGTAGCTTGTCAGATGTAGATTTGTATACAGTTGCGGCCAACTCACCTTTCACAAGCAGTGTCGGCAATAGGCCGCAGGATGGCATCAGATATGGGCGTTGGGAGGAACTGGTCGGTGGGATTAGCCGCCAGCGCCTTGAAGCAGTCATAGAAGCCGGTGGTCAAAGCATGGCAAGTCTCGAAGTCGATTTGAATAGGCTCAAGGAATTTCTCCAGGGGTGCATCTTGCGTCGCAGCCATGGCGGGCCTTTTTGAATGTGAGTCGTGTACAAGTTCAGGACTGCGTGTGGCGTGGTTCAATATTCATGTTGGCAAACAAGACGACTCGGGGCTGAGACGATATTGGCCGCGGGGGTCGCTTCAGGCAGCAGAGTTGCAGACTGGAATTCCAGGAATTTCAGGAATTTCAAGGCTCGAAATGCGCCAGGGTCGAGAGCAGAGGGATGATCAAGCATGGGTCGTTACGGAGTCGGAGGTAAATAAGTGCGACGGTGATGAATGGTACGTGTCCCCATAAAAGTACAGACGCCGTCCAACGAGCCGTAATAGCGAGGTGTCGAGACGGAAAGTATAGTGCACCGAGTAACAAGTCTCTCTTATACGATGAATGGTAAATGAGGTCCAGGGGTATTCAAAAGGCGCCTTGTGGCACCGATGTCGATGGTTATTCTTAGTTTTCTTCGAGGCCAAGCCCTTCCCCGCAACAATCAGCACGGCGTACTGATGGCAAAGTCCAAGTAAGTGGAGTGTGAGCCGGCGCGGAAAGCTGGATAGAGAAGGTCATGGAGGCAATCACACAAAGGCAGCAGCCGAGAGTGGCCAGCCGAGATGCCTATTGCGGGATAAGCATCGCCGCCTCGCGTCACCCCTCTCCTCTCGAGTGCAACGTTTCTTGGAGGGACGAGATGCGGCGCGGGGTATGGGTGGTTGCTGCTGGGGTGCGAATGGATCGCTTGGCTGTGCTTTGTATTCGCTCAGTAATTGGGGGATCATCTCCGGTATATGCCTTGTTCAGCTCAGCCAAGCGACGGGATGAGGCAGATCAGATGGCGTAGTTGGATGGCGGAAGTTGAATGGCGGAAGAGTCCAACAGATCCTGTGCCACAAGGGCAAGGCGGCAAGGCGGCGATGCAACCATCACATACAAGCACGTTATAACCAAGTGGGAAATGGCTTGATCAAAATGTTGTCAATGTTGTAACAGGCGAATTCTGATTATTTCAGCGGGTGCAAATTGATATCAAATAGCGGCGTGCAATGGTCCTGTAATTACTGATTGGTCTGCTGGTGTGCTGGCAGCAGGCAAGTCGGTGAAGGCTGTGTGAAACTTGACGGCCTCGACTGTTTTATGTGCCTCAAGGTAACTCTGAGCGCCAACATTTCGAAATTTGGTTGGGGTGGTCACGTAGTTCAAAAAAAAACAAAAAAGAAGGAGAAGAAGAAGAAGAAGAAGAAAATACACGCCCGCCTTCCAATGTACCTTCACCCTCATACCTTGACTACTTCGTGCACAGGTAACTTTTAATACTAACGACATGTCAACGATACCAAGTGAGACTACCTCGACCACCGGGCCGTGTCGATTACTTCTGAAAACGGAGACGCAACTAGTTTAAGGAAAGGAATCCGGGTAAAAAAGTCGTCTTTCTTCAAAACACCCTGACCGTCAGGCATTTTGGGCGCGAAATTGACAAAAGGCAACAAGGTCGGCACATTCTTGGAGACCATTTCGGTCTTCCCAATCGCTTTTGCTACATGCTCGTTAACCACGGCAACGAAAAAACGACCATAAAAGACATACCCTTCGTTCAGTATCAATTGACACGTGAGGGCAGCCTGTTCACAGTCACGACATCGAGACGGACATAATAACTAGTACTAACAGTGTGGTGCGGCCAGTGTACATATACAGAAGCCCCCATCAGAACAGATACTAATAAAGTGCCGATTAGTGGACAAGCACGCAAACCGATGCCAGCAGACTGGTCCCACTGGTCCCCGTCACCCAGGCAAATAAGAGCAGCAATCAAGGCACAAATGAGAAGAGAACAACCACCTACAATCGATTGCATTAGTTTTCCGCCAAAAAAAAAAATCCGGACGAATAGGTGAAAATGCAAAATAGCTTCTCAGAAAGCGAAAAGGCGCATCTTAGTGAAGCTCTGGCATGTTTAGATCGGCAGTAGCACTGGACGCTGCATCCACCTGGTGGAAATAAGTACTGCACGCACTGCACGCCATCTTTATCTAGTGACTAGTTTTTCACATCTGCTATTGCATGTTCAGCCATCAACTGTACAGGAAATGTAATATCACACTCAAAAGGCACTGGGCGTCATACATGAATACTGACACCAACTATCGGTTCCACACACAGCTGCATGCCTAAATAGTGCTGTGGTCGTGCAGCCACTAATTACGTTAGGTACCCAAGTACCATGGTACCTACCTAGGTTGCTAGGTAGTAGGCTGCGAGTGTGTGGCACGTGTACGAAACCGTCTCAGGCCTTTTCAGCTGCCAAATGCAATATTATCGCTGGGTTGCTGCTCAGAGCTACCATGGCTGCCGCGCTGTCTCGGAGCGCATCAGCTGTTGAGCCATTTCGACAATAACGACCCCGAAATCGTGGCCACAACCCTCTCTCTGCCCATTCCGTCTCTTCCATCCCGCTCAAAGCAAGCATCCATCAACATCTTTTTCCACAACCTTTCGCCATGGATGAGAAGCGACGCCTGCCGCTGCACCGCGCCGCCGCCCCCGCCGACATGACCACCACCGCCGTTCGTCGCCGCCGCACCCGCCTATGGGTCCCCGTCCTCCTCATCGTCCTCCTCGGCTACAGCTTGCTGTCAAGCTACGACGTAGATGTTCGCGGCCGCCTCGACCGCCTGTCCAAGGAGGCCAACTCGGCCGCCGCCAGGGCCGTCGGTATCACGCGCAAGGTGCCTCTCGAAATACACATTATGAGCAAATGTCCCGACGCAAAAGTGCGTATTCTCTAGCCGTCATCGCCCTTCTAAACCGGCCGCCTTCTAACTATTTACTATGGCAACAGTCCGCACTTCAAGAGCTTATTCTCCCTGCCATGCAGCAGGTCCACGACAAGGTCGATTTCAGACTATCATTCATTGCCCAGTATGACAGTCTTGTCTCCTTCGCCCTCCTCTCCAATGTCTAATTGTTGCTAGTCTCACTCCCGAGGACGGCATCAAGTGCAAGCACGGGCCTCCCGAGTGCTTGGGCAACATCATCGAGCTCTGCGCGCGCGAGCTCTACCCCGACCCCAAAATCAGCCTCGGCTTCGTCATGTGCTTGACCAAGGACTACCAGCACATTCCTGAGCGGTCCCTCGTCGAGGACTGCGCCCTCGAGCACGCCATTGACATGAAGAAGCTCAACGAGTGCGCTACCCGCGACGACGGCGCACACGGTATCGACCTATTGCGCGCCAGCGCTCAGCATTCTGACGACGTATGTTTCCCCTTCCCCGAGCCACCTCCCCCTCTCCAACCATTCCATTATCTAACCCTAACCTCCACCACGCAGGTCAACGTCAACATCAGCGCAACCATCCGCCTCGACAATGAAGTCTACTGCGTCCACAACAACCGCAAATGGGATTACTGTCCCCACGGCAGCTCTGTCAACGATCTTGTTTTGAGCGTGGAGAAGCTGTCCCGGCAGCAGTAGTAGCATCCGCAGCCGCAGCCGCAGTCTTGAGCGGCTCGTACACCTGCGTCCACAGCTCGCTTGCCTCCCCCAGCGTGTACGTCAGGCTCACCGCATCCATGCCCGCCTCGTCGCCCCCCGCCATGACCTCGAGCGTCTCGATGATGCTGTCCAGGCCTACCGCCTTGCCTGTCGCCTGCGTCGCGCCCGCCTCGAGCGCCGCGTGCACAATGTGGATGTGCAGGTGGTAGTACGTAGGCTGATAGTGTACATAGAGTTTTAGCTGGTCCCTCTCAATGCTAGGATATGCCGCCACCGTCGCGTCTGTCACCTTTGCCCTCATGTGCCGCAGCCAACCCACGTGCTTCTTCTTGAGGTCCCGCAGCGACCACAGGTCCCGCCGCTCGACCAGCGCCAGCAGGTGCAGCGCGTCCAGCGTCGTCCGGTCCCAGTTGAGGTCCGGCAGCAGCAGGAACCCCTCGTCGCCCGCCGCCCCCAGCGGCGTCCTGTAGATGACGTCCTCGGCCTCCTTGGTCCCCTCAATGATGTTGAAGACCCAGTTCAGCCGCCCCTGCTCCCGCTTGCTCTGCATGTACGGCCGGATCTTGTCCCGGTACAGCGCCGGCGTCTCCGTCACGAACCGCACCCCCTGCTTGCTGTATTTCTTGACGTGCGCCTCCGTGCACGGGTAGATGAGGTTAATCTTGAGGTCCGGGTAGAATTCGCCCTTTCCTCCCGTCTCGTCCGCGCCCGTCCGCGCCATGTGCCAGCTGTAGACGTCGTTGGCGCCCAGGTTCTGCAGCCGCGCGAGCGAACCCGGCAGCCGCCCGAGATGGGCCTCTGACGTCGGAAAAGGAGCGCGCTCGACGACGAGCAGCGCGCGTTGGCCGTCAACTGTGCCGACCATGGACGTGCGGCGACCAGCTTGGTCTAAAACACCGTCAGAACATAACTACAAGATTCATGTTTTACGCAGTTTTATGCAACGCTTGCGGAGAGAAAACGCAGGCATGGCTTTTGCTTTCGGGTCGTTTTTTTTTTTTTTGGTGTGTAGGGAGCCTGACAATTTGCCATACCTTGATTGAGAACTCGCTCAAGCTGAAACTTGGCCACAGCCGCCTCCGAGGCGGCTTTGAGGTCGACGCCGTCGTCTGCCATCTCGAATTATGTGTCTGAATGCAAATGCAGTAGACTGGGAAATATGGGATGAGGTCTTGTTGCTGGGACGAAGAGTGTGATGGAAATCGTTGAAAGGGCAGTGAGAACCCCACCACCCCGCGAGACGCGAGATGTGATGTGAGGGGCATTCACTCCACTGGGCAATTCACTCTGGCAGCGATAGTTAAGCCGCAGCTAAAAGACCGAAATGTGTTGAACCAAGTCCGTTCAGCGAATTCAACTGATAAACCTGATCTTGCCAAAAAGTGTTTAACCTTGCTGAAAGGTGCGTACTAAATAGAAATGTAAAAAGAGCGCGACGAGATAAATGGTGGCACAAGGCAAAGGCTCGAGTTACAAGACCACCATCATCAAACGATTAACGCACCTCTTTATTAGTCTTTGAAACCAAAGAATTGCATGTATCATGTATAAATATTTACTTTTGGTATCTAAACCATCTAAAGAAAAAAAAGTCAAGGGATATTCATGGGGGAATCAAACCCCCCGTGTAATGTGCATTAAAGATGAAATGCCACTTTCCAACTCGACGACACACCAGACGATTAAAAAGTGAGGCGCACAGCCTATTCTGTATCTCTATATACATGAAAGAAACAAAAAGGCAAGAACAAGTTTTTGTCCCCCGTCTTTCCAAATGTCATTAGGTCCAGGCCATGGACATTATGTACGCTCTCTTTCTTTTGGTGCATGTGTCGGCAACAGCTCACTGTGCCGTGAAATGAAAGAGGGTGAGTGTGTGAAAAGGAAGTCGAGAATAACAAGAAATCAAAGATCCAACTGCGAGCGCCGAGCAATGGGTATAAGCAATGAGTGAATGAAAAGCGGCAAGTAAAAACAAAAACCCCCGAATAGATATAAGAAATTTTGCACGTCGTGTCTCGTCCGTATATATGCCGAGAAGCCCTGCTTCAAGCATGCATAGGTGTATGCCAGCAATAGGTCCAGAAGAGGGATCAGCACCATATCGTTCCGGAAAGTCTGTCGGCAAACAGAAAACGATGCTGACAAGTGAGGGTTAACGCGCGGCAGCAGAAAAAAGAATATGATCCGCAGGTTTGCAAAGAGTGTACCCAACAACGCGCTTTTGTATGCAAGACTGGGTAAAGAATAGCCAGCGAAATGTCGTGATGCGTTACCTTGTCTGGCCAGCAGGAGATCCAAGAGACCCAGAGTCGGTCGAGCCGTCCCCGTCAATCGTCTTGCGCCAATGCTGTGGCAGGCAGACGCAGACAAGAGGAAAGGCCTTCAACTCGCCGGCTGACGGCGCAGGTGGGCTTTGGCTTTCATCCCGTATCGAAGAGTTGGAGACGCCGCTGTCTCTTTGTGCAGATCGGGCGGCCTCCCATCCCTCAGCGCGCTGCTCTTGCATGTGACCAGTGGCCCAGCCGTCATCCCAGATGCCGACGACCTTGATCATGTCGCCCCTCTCCAGAGCAAACTCGTCGCCGGCGCGGGGAGAGTAAGCCCACAAGACGGCAACCTTGTCGCCGGGGTGAATGTCGTCTTGTGAATAATAGTCCTTGAAGAATGGCAGTTGCTCGGACTGTTGGCTGCCGAAGCCCTGCGGCGAAGAGTGCCCCGCGCTAAGGGGTGACGACATCTGACCGTCGCTGCCCAGAACAGAGCCGCTTGATAGCGATCCATGTCTTCTAGTAGTCATGGGTGGTGGTCGCAAGCCAGCGTCTCGGTGTTCAAAGTCGGGGCTGTCAACGTATTCGTCCGATGAGGACTGGTCTGTGGCCTTTCTGCTATCTGACAGGTGCCCACCTCCAGTCGTCGAAAGACTCTTGTTGTGCTGTGATGGAGAACCGCCAGAATGACCTTCCAGGGCCGACATGCGCGCGATGCGGCCACCGGGGAGGACTTCATATCCTTGAGGGGCGCCTTGGCTTTGCTGGACCATAGCAGGTATACTTTTTCTAGCCGGGGAAGGCTGGTTAAAGATGCTACCCGCTTGGCTGCTATTAGCTCTGCGTCTTCGGAACAGTCGCACGCAAAAGAATAGTAGCAGCGCCAAAACAGCAATACCGGCAAGAGATCCAATGACGATACCTGCAATGGCTCCTCCACTGAGGCGGTTGCTCGATTTGGATGCGCCGTTGCCGTTGTCGCCAGGAGAAGTTGAGGTTGGGCTTGAATCTGTAGATGTCGGAGTCGAAGAGGTGAGAGTGACTGTAGCCGTGATTGGCGGAAGCTTGACACCTTCACAACGTGATTCGGCTTTAGAATTGTAGCAGCAAGTGTCTGTAGAGTTGATGCCTCCAGCGCCGCAATATCCACAGAGGCCAAGCGTGCTGGATCCGAAACCGCAATTCTCGACCTCGTTCTTGGAGGCGGGTACGCAGTCGCCGGCGAGAGCTTTCACTGGCAAGCCACAGACGGTGTAGTCGGCTCGAATCAGGTCATTGACATCTTGCCTGGGGTTGCTGCAAAGGTTGCTGTTGGAGGTAATGAAGCCTTCGCTTTGCGCAAAATCGGCGCACGAGTCGGCGCACAATGGCCTCGAGACACTGGCGTCCAGACGGCAGGGTTCGATAGACATCTGAACCATGGCACTGCAAACGACCGTTGTGGTCCAGCGGGCGTACATGTTGCTCGAATTACGGAGATCCACGCCACCGCATCCAAATCGACCCTCATATCTGGCAAAGTAAGCACTAATCACCTCGCTATTGCCAGGCTGATGCGACATACCGAGATCGAACATAGTCCGTGTTAACGTAAATCTCTAATTGCTTGTCAAAAGAGTCTACGTCAGACACATATTGCAGAAAAGAGCTGCAGCAAACGTCATTAGCGGAAGGAGCTTGTGGCTGTAACCAACAGACATACTAGGTGTCGAGCAGAAATTTGCTCGTAGATACAGAAGCGCCATCAAAAGCAGGGCAAAGCTTGGAGCCTTTGAGAGGAACGCATTGCCCATTATTCTGCGCTGTTGAGAGTAAAGGCATGGCGAATAATAGGGCTAGTTTCAGGACCGAGTCCCGCATTCCTCTACGTCTCCGTCCATAGCCCGTTTCGGATGGCGCTGCATTGCCGCGAGCCATGGTTGTGCACGAGGCGGGAACGATTTGCGGTTCTGAGACGAGTCGTAAAATATCGGAGAATTTAACGAAAATTTGGAGGAAATGAAGATATTATAAGCGAAAGAGGGCTTCGAGAGCGTGGTTTGCACGGGAGAGCTGTTTGCTGGAAGCGTCGCGCAAACAGAAGACGGCGAGAGTTGTCTTTAGGCGCTTCGGGGTGTCTTTACCCGCAGGTGGCCGTAAATCAGACGATGGTGAATACCTCGAAAGAAACGACGGCATGTATGGTGAGATGGGCGCCGTAGAATTACTCGCGTAGGTAGACTGCAGTAAAGATCGTCGTCGTTTGCAAAAAAGGAAGGTGATCGGTATGGTGAATGAAACGAGTGTAGATGCCACGGACAGGAAACCGCGCAAAGGTATGATCGATCACTCCGACAAATAGACGACAAATTGTAGTTGCAGCGTGTTTGATGCCTAGAAGAAATTCGTCGTTGTCGTCGCAGCGTCGCGAAGGCTCCTGACGTCTGGCGTATTGAGGATCTTGTTTAGGGGTTGCTCGGCGAACACACTGACAGCTGCTCAGGGGCACGGCTCCAATACCAAGCGGGGACCGATGGGTTGGGAAGTGCGGCACCAACTTGAATTATAGCAAAGGTGAGTCCGAATCTGAGCAATGGTCTAGCAGATCTGGCTTTATCTCAGAAAGTTCAACCAATGTATTCCCAGTTTTCCACGACCGGAGAAAAGACGCGGCGGACAGACGGTTCAGAGACAATGTCCTGACGCCTAAGCAGGGCAGGCTGCGACCTCGCACGTGCACGCCGCCACGCAGGGGGGTTGCAAGAGGAAATGAGAAAGAAAAACGCGGCGGTCCGGCTTCCTCTGCGAAGAGAATGAAAAGCCTGCGGCTTCTTCTTTACTTGCTCGGTGTTGTAAAGGCAACACTCTTGGTGAAGGAGAGACAAAGACGAACGGCGCCCGATGCAGGCCCCCAGGTTGGTGCGTGCGTGCGCTGGCGTGGGAACGGCGCTTTTCCAACGGAGGTGATGGGAGAATAACGTTAGCAAAATGAGAGGGAAACAGGAAAACACCAACAAGGCAAAAAGAAAGGAAGACGTCGAGTGGACGAAAAAACGACCGTGCGAGAATGGCTCATGAGAGGATCCTAGTCGTTTGGGCTGCAGTCCTGGCCCTTGGCCTTGCAGCTAGTGGCCGTAGACTGGTTGACTGGTAGTAGATGGGGCGCTCTTTTGTCGTGGATGGGGGGCCAGCACATGAGACGGGGGTATTGAGACGAGTTATTTTTTTTTTGTAATAGTTAAGAAAAGCAGTAAATAACGGGCAACTAAGTTGTAATCGAGGGCATCGGTAACGTCGAGATATGAAGCAGCTGGTGGGCTTGCGGCCTTTGCGTGTAATAATTGGGTACTAATCAGCCTCGGAGCGCGCAAGTCGTGCAAAGACACCAAGGCAAGACATCAGGGACTCGTACTGGTAGCTCGTGCGACGGTTATCCTCTCAACGGGGCCGCTGTGATGCTGCGGTTTTGTTTGTTCTCTTGCTTGATATATGCGACCGATTCCCCAGCTCTCCATGATACACTCTACTGATACTCATGACGTTATACAACATATTTTTGGGTCCAGACAGGGCTGGCCAGAACACTGCTTCGACATCAGTCCATGTGCACGTCTTCTCGGAAGGAAACTCTGCGCCAAAACGCTGCGCTAGAACAAAGCTCAAGTTGAAGCCAAGACGGCTGCGCTACTGTTCGGGCCGTTGTCGTGTCTACTGATTGCCGGCATTGACAGCGCGTGGGCACCAGGCACGGGCCTGGCACAATTAGCTTCAAGGCTTTGGCTAGACAATGTCTATCCTTGATGCAAATTGCGAGGCTCTGCGGGGAGAAACTCTGTTTCCGCCGCCCGTCTTTCTCGCCAACATAGCAAGCGCGCATGCAACCACGAAGTACGTAGGAATAACAACAATAATAACAGAATTTACAAGTAGTACTGGCTGTGGGTCAGGACTGCAAGACCCATGCTGGTGCCAATTTTAGCCTGACAGGGGGGAATACGCAGCCGCCTCATCCAGGCATTGTAACTTGCGTTTCTCTTGTCATGTGCATCTGTTACGGAGCATCATGTATCCGTATTAACAGTCAACTGTATTGATAGGCCAAGCACTATGCCTCGAAGCTTCGTCCCTTGCAGCTTTCTATCGAAAGTCATATCCTCACCGTTGCCACCTATACAATATATGCCGCACATCGCGACATACTGCTATCAGTGATCACTTTCCACACCCATGGCCATCCAATCTTACTCGAGCCAGGGTAGCCTGTTGGTGCCATGTTTCCCGGAATCGCACGTGCGGATTGGCCCTTTGGCCCGTTCCCGTTCCCCATACACTTGCAGCTCGCGCCAGCTTCGTGTCAAGAGATTAGTTAAATAACTAGTCATCGCTTCTGCAGGTCCCAGCCAACTGATACAAATATCCATGTCGGTTTTTTTCCACTCGAGTACCTTGCATTCAGCCTGCATGTGCCGTCTCGCCAAATTTGTGTGCCCTGCGGCCAGCCTCGTTTCATCGACTGTGGCACGGTACTGGCACCCAGGTGCGCCAGACTACTACGTAGCATACGGAGTATACGTACTCCGTACTGGTAGTCGAAATGGCGTCCCCCACCACAATTAACTCTTCATAATATTCGTATGCTGGAGTTTTGCTCTCGTTCAATTCGGGCGCCGATAATCCATCGACTTTTTTACATATCGATATCCCATAACTTTTCAAGGGCATGTCCACCCACATGGCCGGCCACCTACGTAACCTTTCCTGTATCACCTTTGCGACGCCTTTGCACTGGTACTTTGCAAACACCTCTCACATGAGACGAACTTGTGCGCACCAAGACAATGCAGTAGTTACGCCGCATAACATGTCTTCGGCATTCGTGTGTCTATTCGCGCGTGACAAACAATTCAAACTCATTATACGCGACAGCTTTGCCATGGCGTTATGCTAGCGGCCCTGGACTTGTTTATGCATTGCACAACTGAGAAGCAAGTGTATCAAGAGCAAGGCGTTGATATTGTGCATGTCGGCGCTTTGGTTTTCGTGAAGATGACCACCACATCGTCTGTTGCTTGCGACCTCATACCTCATTCCTAGTGAACTAGCGAGACAGCAGCCAACACGATACTAAAAACGAAATTCTCTGTACAAGAATACTTAGTATCTTATTCTACACATACACACAGTAGAGCAAGCCTTTGCTTTAGCCCAGTTAGGGCAGCAACTCCTCGGTGATTGCCTTGAAGGTCCTTTACCAGTACCTCCCCTCGACGGTGTCCTACCACAGTATAAAGAATGTACCATTCCATCTTCGCTTGATTACACGCGGGCATATAAGCACGACGCAGCGGACATGCGTCGTGAAGTACAAGATTGTTCTGTGTATTGTGCCCCTCTCGACCAACAATCATTGTCTACACCAAGCCGGTCGACGTGTCTGCGGCCTCTGCGTTCACTTCGGACCTTTATTCGCACCGCGTTGTGAATGTGGTGCGCAGAGCCGTGGACTTTGGGGGGCCTAATCCCCGAGAAAAGAGTCTAAAAAAAACAAGAAAAGGGTTGTTTGACGTCCTTTCGGTCCCGAGATGGACAATGTGGACAACGATGGCTGCTGAGGGCGCCCCACCTCGCGCTGCGCCAGACACCGACCGCCGACGCGGGGTGGACGATTTGGCGGCAAAGCAAGATAAGCTTGGTATTAGCGTTGTAGACACACATTTTTCGATGGGCATGGGGTCATAGATGGAATGTGAGCATGAATGTTTGATCAGAGGTTTTTGTGAAAGGAGAGTAAAATCATGGCGGCAATCTATTGCTGATGGCCAAACATCTGGTGTGCGTATTGCTTACAGCTAAGTCTGGCAACCCAACAGAGGCAGGTTTCACTAACGAGCAGCATCGATCGGTAGACTTCAGATTCTTTTTTGAAGAACTACCCGATCTGGCGTGTATATCAGAATATTCGAGATTTTGTTCGTCTCGGCTGCTATTTTCAGATTCCAGACACGCAAGCTCAGGTACCACTGTAACACTTAGCAGGCCCTCTGTCTCGGCGGCCGCACGACTTCGACGCCTCTTGCATCATGTGACGGCCAACTCTACGCAGCGAGCGTGCATTAAAATATCCTACCTTGTGAGAACAAACGCCATTATCCATAGAATACAGACGAGCACCGGCACCATCCTTGCAGAGATGGCAAATGTCTTGTAGACGGGCACACGGGGGAACTTGAGGTCGGTGCCCGGAGCTTACAAGCGCCGATCCTCCACGCAGCATACTTGAGTTAAGGCAAAGCTTCTGTTCGCTGCCCTGATAATATCTAGGTAACAGTACCTAATTACAGCCTACAGGCGATGATCCCTCCCAAGCCCCCATTTTGTTTCGGGCTAGCCTCGCTGCCCACCACCGTCCGTGGAACAAACCGTCCCATCGTCTGCGTCACTAGCTGGCGATACTTATAGCTAGCCTGGTGTGACCACTTTGAATTGGGTTTTTTTCCCATGTCTTTCTTTTAAATCATTGTATCGAAACGTTTCTGAGACCAAATCAAACCTTGTACCCTCAACTCGAGATTCTCCGCGCAAAATCCATTGGGTAACGCCACCGCGTCGGACAAGGCAACTCGCCCGTTTGTCATCGACTTACACGCAGCGCCAGCTGACAAGCCAACACAAATCCCTGGAGCGACACACGTCCACGACCAAATTCCCCCCCCCCCCCCCCACCCTCCTACCGAAAATTTGTCTCTTCTTTCCTTCTTCATTAAACCCAGAAGGCATCGGTCGAGCTTGAAAACATATACAATGTCGTCCTCGTCGCAACCAAGCCAGGGCGGCATGTCTCCGGAGATGATAGCTCACTTAAAGGCACAAGTATGTCCATCAACACCCCCCCCCCCCCCACAAAATCCTCACCACTATCACGAACAGGAAACGTCCCCCCTCAATTATTCAAGCAAGTACGCACAGCTAACCAATCTTCTCCTCCTCAGGGTCCTCCTTATCCTCCGACCGGCGCCGGCCTCGGCGGCCGTCCCAATGTCGACGTCGACATCCCCATCTCCTCCGTCTTCATCGCCATCTTCGTCGTCTCCGCCGTGCTCAACATGGCCATTCTGCAGCGCAACCGCCACCGGGGCCACAAATTTGTCCTCTCTGGCCTGCTCTTTGGCTTCTCCATGGCGCGCATCACCGCCAACGTCATGCGCATCGTGTGGGCCACGCGCCCAAACAACGCCTCCATCGCCATCGCCGCCTCCGTCCTTACCAATGCCGGCGTCGTCCTCCTCTTCGTCGTCAACCTTATCCTCGTGCAGCGCCTGCTGCGCGCCTACCACCCCCATCTCGGCTGGAGCCGCCCCGTCGGCCTCGCGTTCCGCTTCCTCTACTTTTCCATCGCCGCCGCCATCATCATGGTCATTGTCGCCGTCGTCTACAGCTTCTACACCCTTGACGTCACCGCCCGCCATCGCATCCGCGAGGTGCAGCTTACCGGCACCGTCTTCCTCGCCGTCCTCGCCTTCCTCCCCATCCCCGTCGGTCTCGCCGCTGGGCTCGCGCCCGCTGGCCGCCACCCGCGAGACCCCTTTGGCCAGAGCCACCCGCAGGGCCGCGCGCGCTCGCTGCGCTTCAAGCTTGCCCTCGTCGTTGCCACCTCGGCGCTGCTGACCCTCGGCGCCGCCTTCCGCGCCGGCACCGCCTTCTACCAGCGCCCCGCCGCCAACCCGGCCTGGTTCCACAGCAAGCCCTGCTACTACTGCTTCAACTACCTCATCGAGATTGTCTGCGTCTTCTCCTACGCTCTGCTGCGCTTCGATCGCCTATTCCACGTCCCGGACGGTAGCAGCGCCCCCGGCGACTACGCCGGCCGTGGCGGCCTTAGCCCGGCGGAAAAGGCCGGCGGCCTCGAGGAGGTCTTAGACAGCGACCGTCCCCCCACGGCCGCCGAGCAGCACGAAGACGAGAGCGCGTGGGACGCGCAGCTACGCAACGAGCTAGGTCGCCAGACTGCATAGATGTGTGAGCTCTACTTGCATTTGATTTTACAAGCGGCGTATATTTCATGCTTTTGCTGGCGGGGACGAGCAATAGAAATCCAGGGCAACCATGCTAGACTATACATTCATAGACCATGTATGAAATAATACCCAAATAGCTAATAAGCGTTCAACAATGCGATGCGCTTAGTGCGCGAAGCTTCGTCATCATGTGCTGACTGTGGTTCATCGTTGTCAACATCATTAGCTTTCATTCCAAGGTCATGTAATCGTGGCTCTTTTTTCTCCTGTCATTTGTTTCCCTTTTTACTGTTTTGCAAATCTATACAACGCTTCGTCGTCCACCTAGTAGTTGAAGCAGCTGCCACCGCCTCAACCATTTCGACAACTCCGACCCACACGAAATGGCAGAGCTAGCCCCATTACCACTCTGCCGCCCATGCATACATTACGGGAGCCTATGTGGCAACTCTAGCACGTCTATTCCTTCTACCGAGGTAAAGAATACCCAGGACAAGGTTGGTTTGCGTTTGATACAGCGCCACAGGATTAGAGGAAATAGTCGGGTGTTCCTGCATGCGGTCAGTAAAGTCGAGCCGAAAGGGTAGGGAAAGCACATACTTCTTGAAACCATTGGCTCGCCAGCTCTGGGGCAAGGGTCAAATTGCAGGCTGCAAAAGGTCAGTATCAATCAATCACCGCTGTGGTCTCAACGACGTACAATGTGTATTTCAGATGCTCGTCAATCTCCATGATAGCTGCTTGGTTGCCACATCGGTAGCAGTAGTTGGGAGCAGAGAAAATTGTAACGACGTTGCGGTCTTGCGACCAGTTGTAGCCCTCCATGACCAGCTGATGCGCGCGTGCAATGAGTGTCAAGCCGTTGTTATGGTTGAATGCTTCTGAGATATCCTGGCCAAAGGTGTAACCAGCACCACGGGGAGAAATTCCCCATCCGCATCGGTCATCGGGGTCTGACCAGAGGAGGTCGCACATGGGTCCCTCATGAGGCACTTCCTGGATGCGATCCAGCGCTCGAATGTTATCCAATGTGTCGATACTGGGCGAAAGACCGCCATGAAGACAGAAAATTTGATTGTCAATCAGGGCGGTCAGCGGCAGGTAATCGAACAGGTCGGTAAAGTATTTCCAGACGTTGGCGTTGCCGTACTTGCGCAGGCACTCGTCGTAGAATCCGTAAACTTGGGTGATTTGACGCGATTCGTGATTTCCGCGAAGAATGGTGATGCGCTGGGGGTATCTAATCTTGAGAGCGACGAGAAGGGTCACCGTCTCGACCGAGTAGTAACCTCGGTCGACATAGTCACCTAGAAAGCCGAGTTCAGTATTTGTCGTCGCAGGTCAAGAAAACGCATCATCAGCTTGGCATACCCATAAACAGATAGTTTGTGTCGGGATTAGGGCCACCAATCTTGAAGAGCTCCATGAGATCATGGAACTGCCCGTGGATGTCGCCACAGACGGTGACGGGGCATTTCTAAGCAATTGTCAGCCTCGCGACCACGGAATTTTATCTCCGACGTCAAGTCCATCAACTTACGACTGGCTGCACGTTCGATTCTTCTTGTAGTACTTCGCGGGCCTGTTTGGGGAGTATGGGTCAGCCTCTGGGTGTCTGACCAGTCACGCGAGAAAACGCTGCAGCATTGGCGCTCAAACATCGCATCGTGGGCGAAGCCGCCAAACGCTCGCAACCAGCATCGCGAGCGAGGTGCCGAAAAAAAATTTATCCAGGTCGCACGACGCGGACGGCAAGACGTGAGCTTCTCTTACCTTGTCGCAAAGTCTCTGGACATCAGCCTCAGCAAGCTGCTTGCAGGTCATCAAGCTCTCAATCCAGCCGTCGAGGGTGGGAATCGTGGCGGGCTCGTGCTGAACAGGTGACACGTCGGCGGGCGCCCTTCCCACGTCCTCCATGTTAGTATCCATGGTGAAATGTCGAATTAAACCTGAGGATGTCGCAGCGTTGGCAAGAGGCACAGGAGCCTGGAGATGCGGTGTTCGAGGGGTAGACGGTGGAAGATTTGCTCCCTACTGCTTTGCGTCCGTGGCGGTGGGGTAAGGTAGCCAAGGGGGGAAGCTCGCTGCTTTGACGCGGGAGAGTAAATAGGTCGCGAGGTTACAGCAGTAAAGATTGTAGTGCAGATAGAATACAAGATGTGCACACTATTCTCAAGGCGCGGCGGTCGTTGGCGGGCGGTTCGGTGGGCGGCGCGGCGATGCGGCGATGCGGCGATGCGGCGATGCGGGATGTAAAACGTTGATTCGTGTTTGTGATGATGTTAGGGGAGCCTTCGAGGACTGTGAGTCTTTAGAGAGGGGGGAAGAGCTGCAGGCTCCTGCACTGCAAAGGAGATTACAGGGCGACTTCGCTTAATTTCCACTGTGCAAGCGCTAGTGCTTCAACAGCGACTGGCCGGCAGTAACGAACGCCGTCAGGCACTTCACCAAGAGAATTGAGTTGGTACCTCAAAGAAACAAAGGAAAATGATTTTGATTGACTCCAGTCATCTCTCATCTTGCTGCATTCTTCTTCCTATGATTGTATCCGTAATCGGCCTCTTCTTGCTTTTAGGTACCTAAGGTGCCTCACTCCTGCCTGTAGCCACCGCCATGAACCACTGCAGCTCGGCGCTAAACCAAGCCAGCCCACCTTTACAACAGTCAATGCACAAGCTGCTGCATTCCAGAGCTTTCTCGCTGCTGTATCTTACTCCAATCTGATATGTTTGCTAGCTTCTTTGTTTTGACCCTCTCTCTTTCATCTCGGATATATATTGCAACCCCCACGTGCTGCTGGCGCTTTGTCCCCGCAACATCTATCTCTGTGCTCCGTTGGAGTTGGGCACTGCGTCATCAATTCTCCACCTGCTTGCGACCACCCACTGATGAAGCTAGGCCAGCTGGCTGCCCAATACGCCAAGCTTACTGTCACATTGTTGCTCCTCTGCCACGGTCGTGACTACCTATACAGTCTTCAAATTTCATCATGATATCTGCAACATTATCGTAATACGATCCTATGGTCCCGCCATCACGCATATAATACTCAGCTCGATGTCAGCCCAAGTCCAGTAGGTGATGGCATCGCGTCTGAAGGTACATCGATTCGTCCAACGAGATTCTGAAAGTCTAGCCCGACAGCAGAGAGTTTCGTAGCATGCTCCTTTGCTCTGTTCATGCACTCTGTCCAGACCGGGCCACCGCGTTCTGTGCTACTCAGCTGCCTGGCGAGAATGGCATTGAAGGCCTCAACCTCTTGCTTAGCCCACTTCACGCAAGCGCTCATCATCGGTGGCGGGAAGCACGCCTGGAAACATTGGACAGTGTTGTGTATACTAGTAAAGTAAACGTACGACAGCTGCCAAATGTACAGATGCAAGTCTCCCTGGAAGATGCATTGCCTGCAGACCTATGTTAGCTCTCGTTCAATCCTAACCGCCGCTTGACCAACCTTGAACGTTTATGAATTGTAGCGCTTCGCGCGTCCAGGTAGGCTTCTCTTGCTCTGTCATGATACCCCAGCCTCGTCAACCAGGAAATATTTTGCTTCGTCTTCATCCTCTCGTTGTGTGTGGCCTCTAGTTCACGAATGACGATGTCTCCTAGGCGGTTGCATCGCTCGTCTACCTTGAAGCTAATAAAGTCCTGCGCGACTGCGTTGCTCTTGAGGCCTTTCGACAGACTCTTGAGCTTCTCCACGCGTGCCACTGCAGGCTCGAATTCTTGCAGCGCAATATTGATGTCCAGCTCATCCATCTGGCTCTCCACCCAGCGCAAGTTTTGTTGCTTGCCGTCGACCTCGATGAGCATATCCTTAATGTCCGACAAAGTCTCGAGGAGCTCCGTCTTTTGTAGCAGGCCGGGATCTCGCGAGGCGAAATAGTTGATTGTCTCCTTGGCCTTGTTGTTGGCCTCCATTTCGAATTCGAGACCCTTGCGGAGCTCTTCCACCGCCTTGCGAACGTTGAGCAGGAGAGCCTTTTTGGAGGAGTCATCTGCTTTTTCGGTTCTGTAGATGAACGACTCTTGCCCGCCGCCTCGTACCATGATGGCGTCGGCAAGCTTATTGCGGCCGCCAGACGAGTCCCCAGCCCCTGGCATGTCAATGACCTCGATATCGAGCAGCGACCAGCACCGGTCAGCAACGAGCTTCATCATGGGACCTCGCGTGTCAGCGCTGGGCGCATCCATCTTGCGCTTCTTGCGAGAGGCGATGAGCAGGTGGTCGTTGAGCAAGAATATTTGCATGGCCCTGCGAGACTTGTATGTGGCATTGTCGAGCTCGACCCACGGCCCTGCGTTTTGGATGACGTGACGCCCAGACGAGTTGGGAAGAAACTTTTGCGAGCCTTCGACATTCTTATACAGGGCCTGCATCTGCGAGTTCCAGAGCGCGCTTCTGTCTGCTACGGAGCTGCGCTTGTCTCGCTTGCTGAGCGTCGCCTGGCCTGGTATGCTCGCAGGCTCGTCGTTTTTAGCAGTCGCCGATCGCAACGCCGTTGTGTTTGTCTTGAGCTCCGACATGAGGTTACGCAGCGTCCGCATCTCGCCCTTGAGCTTCTCTGCCTCTTTACTAATCTTGATGAATTGGGTGCGGTTCTGTAGTAAGTTTTGCTGTAAATCGGAGGCGGCACGAATCTTAAGCTTCTTGAGAGAGTCTTCAAATTCGCGAATCTGACCATCGGTAGCATCGCCGAGCACAGCTGCCACGTATTGATCCGGCACGAGGGCGGGATCTCGCAGAGCCTTGATGTCGATGATAGGTGCAGCACCGCCTCGGGAAGGAGGTGGACGTCGGTCTTTTTGATCGTATTTGTCCATTAACGGTAGTGCCGGTACCGAAGGTATTGGGCCGTCCAGATCAAGGGGCATGTTGTTGAACCGTGTCGAGTATCGTTGTTTGACCAAGTCCGATGTCTGCCACTCATGTTTAGTCCATGACTTGTACCAGCGCTCATTGCAGCTGTCCGAATAGTACCTTTCCACCAGCCATTGGCGGCGGTCTTAATCGAGGCCGCATCGGCGGCTCGCTTGTCGCGCCAGAAGGTCCTGGGGCGACGGCTGTGTTGGAACCATCTTGCAGGATGGGACTGGAGATCTGTCGCGGCGCGCTGATGGTGGGCTTAGCCTTGCGTTTGCCGCTACGCAGGGAGATTTTGCTGCGTTCCTCCGACATTGTGGTATCGAAAACGGAGATCAGGCGCACGTAAGGAGATGAGAATAGATAAGAGGGTCGCGCACGGCAGGGCGTTTGTCGTTGATCCCAGCAACAACGAAGCTGGTGGTGAGGCAGCTTCGGGGGGTTGATGTGTGTCACAGTGGGTGGGTGCGCCAATCAGGCCTGACAATCGCCTTGTCTGAGGCCAATTACCCAGGAGGCTAAGCACTACCAACGCTAGGTAGCTACTACTAAATAAATACTTAGCATAGCGTCCCGAGTTTCTCCCAGTCCACACCTAATATTTCCACGTTGCCACGATTAACAAAGCTTCCCTAATAAATAAAGCAGCCATACAGACTAGCCGCAGGCGTTCATCAAGCTCTTACCCAAGGTCAAAGAAAAAGAAAATCAGTTCGTACCTAACTAGTTTTGGCTAATGTCTGTCTGGTGTCTCATGTCTGGTCGGAGGCGGCGGCGAGCAGCAGAGCGATAGTGGCAGGAAAAAACTGAATGTGGTCTTATTTAAAAGTTAGCTATAATTTATTTGGTCTCGGCGACGCCAAAGGCACACGACGTGAAGAGGACGGCGACGGGGGGAGCCGGCCTTGAGCATCTGGGTAATTTATATGTGAATTGCCTTTTAGTAGAGGTACCCGTTGAAGTCCATTAGTGACACACACGTAACACCGCAAAAATAGCAATACTCAAGGATAACACAAACTTTAAGAAATGACTCTTGTGAAGCTTTGGAGAGAACCTTGATCCAGCCGACAGGCAAAAAAAGCCGGCACCCAGCTGCCAGCCTAGGAAGACCGACGCAAGCAGACCAACCAAGAAGGAACAATAAGAAAAAATACCAGGCTCATCTTGGGCTGTGTTGCCGCCGGAGATTCGACTACAAATACTAGGGGTAGTCTCGCGTCAGGTGGCTCGCGGCTCCTGCGCGGCTGTCTGCTCGGAATGGAAGGCATTCATCGAGCCGCATAATTTCTATCGACGAGAATTACAAGTACCGTGCCTACAGCAACTTGGCCATATGACCTGTCGAACTTCGAGTCTTGTTCGTCAAATTCGGCTGAGTATTGAGCTGCCACGATACTCATGTCGCTCTTGTGAGTGGCCTGACTCAGAGTCGCGTCAATCGCGGTATAGCTCCATCTTCAGAGCTGCGATACGGAAACTATTTACTGTCTTAAGTACTTGGAAACCGATAGGACGGCTTGTGTTAGAGCTTGACACCTTCTCACCTAGCGACTCGGAGCACTAGTTCAAGGATTATTGCATTGGCCTAGACGCCCAAACCAACGGAGAATCTGAGCGGCAGCAGCAAGAGGATCCCTCTAGATGGCATGACCCAAAACACGGTTGAATTGATGGCCGGAAGGTGGAGAGTCCCGCTGCGGATGCTATGTCACGTCTCTTTGCCCCGATATGCTTCAGTCTCCCGGAGAGCATCCCGTAGGTCCACGCAGTGACGCGGCTTGTCATACGTCGAGAATGTCGGCGGCAGATAGTACCGTCAGTTCTGAGACTATTGCTACAGAAACTTCAGCTACAAAATATGGTCAACGAGCCGTGGCGCTTTTGCCTCCTCGCCTTTAAGATTGCGTGGGATAGGGGTATGTTGATGTGCCAACTGTTTGATCGACGACCTAATCATGTATCTGCAGAGTTTGCATCCGTGATTCAAGATGCTCTGCCGAGTCACGTCGAAATGCTCTCGATCTTTGAGAGTCCCAATTCTGAGCTTGTGTCGGCAATGCACCGCGATCCGCCGTTGGGCCAAATTATCGATGATAACATGACGGCAGGTGCCGAGCTAGTCAGGGCCCTGGTCTTGAGAAGTTGTGACCTCAAACATCTCTCAATCTCCTTCATGATTGACGCCCGACAATTTTTAGGACTTTTTGCATTCAAGTCATTGCTGCCACAAATTACAATCGCTCACACTCACGGCGTCGATCCTCAAGAGAGAATCCCAAAGTAGGCGAATTGCTGATTTCTTATGCGACGCGAGCTTGTTTTCGCAAGAGATGAATCAGCTCGAACGATTGATACTTTGGAACAGTAAGCGAGGAGAGGCGTGTGCGGTCATCTATCAAAGGGACAGATCGAACCGGCGAGCTACTCTGACGAGGCGCGGAACATGGCATTTTGAGCTGAATTACGAAGTGATAGAGTCCTGGAAGAAGGTCGACCCAGATTTCATCCTCGGAATCGAAAACGAGCAGCTACAAGCAGTCAAACAAAACGGTGATGCCATCTACCACTTACGTTTGCCAGGGGAGGTTATCGATCCAAGTTCTGCCCGGCAGCTACGACAGGAAGCATTCGTGGGAGAAGAGAAGAGGTCTGATGAAAGGGTTTTCATGTTGGCTCCTCATTCATTTCCTATTGAAGGGTCCGGTCCACAAAAGATGTAGAGTTGAACTTGAGATAGACATGGCGATAGACAAAGTAATTAGTGTGTGGGTGCACCCGTCAGGCCTGACGATAGCCTTGAAATAGGGAACTACTAATTATTTATAGTACTTACCTACCTAGGTAAGTGCCCAACGCTGCTAATGCTTGGCCCAGCGTCCCGAGTTTCTCCCGGCCCGCACCTGAGATTCCCGCGGTTGACGAAGCTCCCCTGAGCAGCCATGCGGGTTGGCCGCAGGGGCAGCAGTAAACCTCAAGTCCAGAGGGGTCAGAGGCCAAGTCCGAGCCGGGCCAAAAGCGGCAGTATAATGCAGCTTGATTGTAGGTCCTTTACAGTCGCGCTATAATTACCTTGATACTTTACACTAGGTAGGTGTTGATTCACTGGCTGTTAACTAGGTGGCTGGTTACTGACTGGCTGGCTGGCTGTTAATGAAGTGGCTGCTGGTTAACTAGCTGTTAATCAGCTCGCTGTTGATTAACTGGCCGCTGATGAACTGGCTGTTAATTAAATAGCTACTAATCAAGTAGCTACCCGTCAACTAGCTGTTGATTAACTACCTAGGTGTTGATAAAGAGGCTGCTGGTTGATAGGTACCTATGTACATAGGTAGGTACCTAGGTAGGTACCTTAGGCTCTATAAGGTATTATCTGCACAGCGCATCTGCAACGGATCCTCACCGCCTTCGTAAAAAAGCGCCCCACTTGCACTTGGCCTCTGACGGTCTGACCCCTCTGGACTTGAGGTTTACTACCTGCCCCTGGACGCAGGCGTTCATCAAGCTCTCGAGGTCAAAAAAATCAGCGTCCCGGCGAGCGCATCACAGCCCCAGCTTCAACCTCGAATCTCCCCGTCCATCCCTGCCTGCCCTTCAACAACAGTCCATCGACCTACGACACTGTCGCTTCCCTTTTTAGAATACCTGCATCATCCGATTGCTGTTTCTCAGCCGCAATTTTTCCACACACTGCGCCTCTCTCGAGTCACCTCCCACACAGCAAATCATGGTGCAAACCTCGACCCTCGTGACGGCGTCTGTCGCCACCGCGGCTACCGCCATTGCCGGTAAGTGCGGCCGTCGACCTCAATATTTTCTTCATTGGACGCCGAACATGATACTGTGCGCGAAATGATGAGTCCCATTCCGACTAACCTCGTCTCGTGTTCCCGCTTCCGCCGATGCAGCCTACGCCATCTACTTTGACTACCGCCGCCGCAGCCAGAGCGAGTTCCGCCGCAACCTGAGACGCCACGAGCGCACGCAGGCCCGCGCAAAGGCCAAGGCTGAAAAAGAAGAGGCCGAGGCCTTCTCGCAAAACCTGCGCGCCACCGTCAAGGCCAGGGTCGACGAGGCCAAGGAGGAGGGCTTTCCCCAGGGCGTCGAGGAGCGCGAGGCCTACTTTAGCGAGCAGATTATGGCTGCCGAGGTCATGAGCTCCGATCGTAAGCTTCAGCCCCCAGAACCTCTGATACTCGGGCGCTGTTCCCTCGTGGGCGCATCACTAACAGAAGCGCATCTTTACAGCTTCCAAAGCCATTGACTCGGCTCTCGCCTTTTACAGAGGCCTCAAGGTCTACCCCAGCCCCGGTGACCTGATCAAGATTTACGATAGCACTGTGCCCAAGGTACGATCTGATGTTGCTCGATTGATTGGTGCGCAGTACCTGCTAACAACGGTAGCCCATATTGGACATTCTCGCCGAAATGATCGCATACGACTCCAGCCTCGACATCCGCTCAGTGCCCTCCGGTGCCCCCGGCGGCATCAACCTGGGTGATATTCCCAACGTCGGCCTTGACTAGATATTCGTCTATTTTGAGTCCCTCCCGGGGCAGTGTGTAAAATTCGCCATGTCGTCTTTGGCATACATGGTAATACCGGCTTGTAATCAGCAGCGCGCAAGCACTCAAGCTGCAACCTCTTGAGGTTCTGTCTCGGCTCTTGCTTCCTGCGCCAACCACCAAAATTCAAACAATGCGGGGCCAGTTGATCCAGCTTCTGGTCTCGGTGTACCATATTGTCCTTCTTTTAGGCTTCAGATAGAGCTTTGTGTAAACAGTATACGGTCAAAGAAACCGCTACGAGGGCTTGGGGAAAGGCGGCCATGGTAGCGTCTCCAAATAAAATCACGATCCACGACTGGTTCGCCCAACACTTGCTACGTTGAACTGCATGATAGCTTCAAGCGACTTTTGTAAGGGCAACTATTGATGTGACGACGGGCAATGCTCATATTTATTCGTACAATTTTTCACCAAGTATCGCCTTGTAACTACTCTGGAGCCTCTCGAACAACTATGGCTTCCTTTTTTCTTCCCTTGCGATCCACACGCTCATCACGCGGGTCGAATCCTCCATTGCCCCAGAGCGCCCACTCGGGCGTCGGCGGGCCCATGTAATCCTCGGGCGTCCAGTCGCCGTCAGGGCCGCGCTCCTCGAGCAGCTCAAAGAAGCGGTCATAGTCAATATGTGTGTGCCACTTGCCGTGGACGTGGAAGCGCTCGCTGGCCAGCAGGACGCAGCAGCTGTGGGCGTGCTCGGCGGCGATGCCGTACGCGAGTCCCTTTTCCTGGAGGCGCCTGTCCAGCGCGCGCACAAACTCGCAGACCTCCCAGTAAAAGGGCACGTTGGACATGGTGAGGCCGGCATTGGACGATGTCGACGTACCGCAGTACGTCACGCCCTTGATCTCGACGAAGCACGGCAGGCCCTGCTCGATGAGCCGCGCGTAGCCCTCGGCCTCGTCCTCGACGTTGAAGCCCTTGACGAGAGTCAGGCGGAAGACGGTGCGGTGGCGGAAGCGCTTCTCGCGGAGAATGTCAAGGCAGCGATTGAAGCGCTCCCAAAAGTCACGGTGGAGGGGTCGGTCGATCTTGCGCAGCGATTCCTTGTTGGAGGCGTCAATGGAGACGTAGAGCTGCGTCACGGCCTTGAGATCAGCCAGCTGGTCTGGGTGCTGTGCGTTGCACACCAGGAAGGAAGAGATGCGCTCTTTGTGCAGCATGCCGAGAAACTCATTGATGTAGGGGTAAAAGATGGGCTCGCCAACCAGAGAGAGCGCACAGTGGCGGATCTTGAGTGCTTCCGCGAAACGCTCCGCACGAACTCCTGGTACACCGCGCATCATCTTAATCTTCTTGTAGTGATTCTCCTTTACACCGTCAAAGATTAACTCCGGGGGGTCAACGACCCATCGCCAGGTAGTGCCGACAGGATTGGTGCCATGACGCCAGCAGAATACGCATTTGTTGGAGCACGATAGCGATGGCGTCGTTTCCATGCACTGGTGGGAGTTAATTCCGTACAGTGAGTACTTGTAGCAACTACCTCTGCCACGCAGAGCCGACTTGGTCCATCGGCAGATCTTGACACCGGAATGCGATCCTACAATGGCGTAACCTTGCTTTGTGAGGGCAGCATAGGTCGGAGAATTCTTGGCGACCATCTCCTTGACCTTGTTCTGGGGGTTGCTCTTGTTGTTGTAGGTGGTGAAATCGACAGCGATGGGTGCCTTTGGGTTGGCATCACCGCCTTGCGACTTGATCACGCGGCCCAGATCTTCTACATCGTCAAGATTGCTAGAGCTTTTGCCGTTTTCGCGCTTTGAGGGCTTCTCGTCGTCGAAAACGACCTCGCCATCGTCATAGTCTTCCTCTAGCTCATCGTCGCTTTCCACAGGCGCTCCGCTGCCAGCCACACCTTGGCCGAGGTAGCCGGTACGGATGATTTGGCCAAATACTTCTTCGACACCGCTTGACCATTCGCTGAAGCGCTCGGCATGGTCACTCTTCATGTCTCCCATGCCAACGGGGTAGGCTCGCTTGCGCGCAGTCAATTTCGCCATCCACTTGTCCACTTCCTTGGCCTGGAAGCAGTAGCCTTCGGCCTCATCAGGCCAGCCTTCGCGATCACCGAAACCAAATACAGAGTATCCCATTAGCGGCGAGAGCGGCGCCGTGTCAATGCGAAAATCGTGATGGGTCTCTTGGAGATGTTCGAGGAAAGTATCGTTGATGGAGTCGATATTGTAGCTGGGGATGAGGAAAAGGTAAAGAAACTGTGCGCCATCATCGCTCTTTGGGGGCGCGATGAAATAGTCGTCAAAGTCGATTTCGGTCAGGTCGAGAAGCTCGGGCGCAAGAATCGGGCGCGCGGTTTCGGCGGCGAGCTGCGCGACAGATTTTTCAAGCTTCGCGATGTAGTCCTGGCCGATCTTCTCCGTTTTGGTGGTAATAGACGAGAAGAAGACGAGTACTTTGACAGGTTTGTTCAGGTCGATTGATTCCTCGGTGGTCTCGGGCTTTTTGGTTACGCCGCCTTTGATCCTGCGAGGGCCGACAGTCTTGACGGCAGTCTTTTCTTGTACTTGTGGCGGGGATACATTGTCCGACTTCTTGTAGGCGACATTTTTGTAGTCGGTATTTTGGTATATTTTCGGTATGATTTTTAGGTAGGGCTTTTCTTCGTATGCGTGAATGTACAGACGAAGCACAACAAGGCCGCAAAGTGCGAGTAAAATGATGGGTGTTCGGTTTGTGTGCCAAACATCGAGCAGCCCTGACAACTGTTAGAGGGTTTTGATTCAGTAATCAGGTTGATATACTCCACCATTGATATTGAAAAGAGCAGACTGCCCATTCGCACCGCTCAGAGGATCCATGGCCAATGCAGTTGTTCGCGTGCCGTTGGTAAAATAGCAAGTCAAACTGTCGCCCCGCGATGGAATAATTTTGGCGGGGCGAATTAGCAACCACTTGATAGGTGGGATGAAGTGCGCCTGAATGCACAGTTGGGTAAGTTAACACAAGGACTCATTCGACCAACATCAATTTCGACAATATGTGAGCATACACTTGTATAAAGATTCGGCTCTTTTTACGATGTGTTCTGTTTCCGAGCAATTTTCACATAATCATCATCATTATTTTACTCAGTAGTCTTGCTACTGATACCTGCATGACCAACTTGGTTATATACGTGAAAGAGAATAGAACCAAACTCATCAACCCAAGCCTCTCTACACGCCCGGCGAGTAGATATCACCGCCACAATAATGCGAATAAGTGACACATCAGCCATTGAATCAATTCAGACACTGGATGCAGGGTAACTACATATTATCATGCTGACTAACGTTGGCCCTCGCTCGTGGTGGACTCTGGGACGTGCCCAAATTGGGACTAGCGTGAATCACGCAATCGATGAGCCCGCCTTTGGGTCAAGGCCTTGCCAGAAGACGACATGACCTGCTCCTCTTTCACTCCTGCAACCTCTTTGCACGTCACTTCGTGGACAGATAACTGCCAGCGGGCACGAGACGGTTTTTTTCATGTCGATATGTAATGTATTGTACTATGAAGAGACGTTGCGCTGTTGACAACTTGACCGTGCAATGGGTTTGCCCCACCCATTCGAAGAGAGGAGTGTCGCAGGCTAATGAGACGAAATACAGAAAATTCAGGAAAATCAACAAACGCCGACCATGAGACACAAGGCACGCCACTGCAAGGCAGGAACGTCTCTACTCCTTGAGAAGCCTTCCATAGGCGGAGTAGTAGGCACAGCCAGGAACGTGACTACGGCGACCGGTCTTCTCGTCGAAGATGTGGCAGCCCTTCTTTGCTACGTTGGGAGGAGTATAGACTGCACCGAGAGAAACCTCTGTTAGCGAACCGACGACAAGTGTCAACGGGGTCGATGGGAGGAACACTCACGGTGGAGGGAGACGGCGAAGTCGCTACCCTTGTTGGACACGCGGTGTAGGCCGAGCTCATCGGCCATGTACGCGACTTGATTCTCTTTATACGTCTTTTCTGTGATGACCTTGAGGGGGCCGCTGGATTCTCTTTCTTGGGGGAATTCGTAGCGAGTCTCGGTCAGGTTGCCCTTGAGAATCTTCATCAAGCAGTGGGCATTGCCGTGGTCATGGATGGGACTGCCCTTGCCAGGCGACCAAACCAGGACAAGCTGATGCCGAGTCGTGTTAGCGGTGACAAAACCGACACCTGCATCGAGTCATGATATCACGGGAGAAAAAGGAGAGAACTCGACATACCAGGTTGCTCTTGCCGTTACCCTCGTCGACGAGGTTTCTGGTATAGCCTCTACTGGCATCACCGAAGGCATACTTTGCCCAGTTTCTATCACGGGCATCGTACAGCTTCATGAGGCGAGTGAGGAATGTGACATCGATATCGTCCGAGGTCAACCCCGAGCAGGGCCCTAGAGCCGACTTAAGGGCGAGTACAAGTTCCTCGAAGAGGTTCTCATCGACGCGCATGGAACTGGCAACAAAGATGGAGTCGAGCGGCAAAGCGCTGGGAAGAACATTGATAGCCATGATGCTGGAATGGAAAGAAGGGTTACGTGAGTATGTGTTTGTGTTGCTAAACTGATGATAGAGTAGTGCGAGGGATTATTGATGCTTTGCGAGATGGACGCTTTTACGCAAATTGGGAACAATGCTGGACGAAACAGGGCAGCGGTCACCTGAAGGGGGGAGGCTACCTCTCTTACTTTACGTTACGGGTGATAGTAAGACCGCACTGTGGACAGTGGGGCAGCGCGGCGAGGCATGAGGACCTCTGTGATACGACATCGAATCGGAAAAGCAGGCCAGCTTGCCGGCTATCGGTGACGAAAAAAGCTCAGAGCCCATCGAGTAGGCAACGTGGCCTAAAGCATCATTGCTTTGGTTATTTTTTTCAGCGCTACGGCGTGCTTTTTAGGGGGAACTTTCTGCCTCTACTGGCGCGAGGCACAGAAAGGAAACTGATAGCGGGCTTGGACCGGACTTGCACGATTTCTAGTTGGCTGATGGGTTGGGGCCAAGTATCGAAAAAAGTGGATGGCTGCATGCCGGTTTTTAGCGGCTACCAGCGCGACAACACTTCGAGGCGTACAGCGGACCAAGGAGTTGAAAAATGCACGAAATCGCGCGTAGATTGCTGTAGAAATGCCGTCGAGGCGATGCGATTGAGAGTAGAAGCAAATTGACAACTGTTTTATTGATCAAGATCGATGGTGAAGACATGCTGGCACGGCCAGGCACTCGGGGTTTGACAGCGGGGCAGTGTGGGGCAGCATAACCCGAACCGTGCACAATGATGTCGCAGGCACGGTGTGCACGCACTGTGCGATGCCGGCCAGCGGGCCAGAGATGTCACATGGAGGCAGCGTAAGGAGGCTTGCATACTGGTATGCTGCTCATATTAATTGAGGAGAAGTAAGAGAGCCGCTGGCTGAGACGTTGCCAAGTAATCTAACATAATACGTTGTCAAGACGGAAAGACGGGTCGTTGCAGATGAGTGGGTGGCAGGCACCCAGGGTGCACAACCCCGAAGCAATGAAGAGAGAGACAAATGTGACGATGTCGCGGGTGTCGGCAGGTGTAACTAGCGCTGGTGAGCATTTTGGAAAATAGCGTTGAATGTCTTACGCTTACACTAGTATGAGACGCGAGAGCACGGCGCTGTATCGGAATTTGGGAATAATAAAAAAAAGATAAAAAAATGAAGAGAACATGGTGCTTCTGACTGGCCGAGATTGCCGTCCGGGGTTAGTTACATGGGCAGCTTGTAGGCCCTTGTATTGCGTGGGACAGTCTGCGGCTCCGCGTCGATATAAACGCTGGTCCATGCATATTTGTATATCGGTGCCTTTGCTATTGAAAAGATTTTTGAGAATTGAAAGCTGGGGTAGTAAATGGTAACCAAGGTCGATCAGATATGGAGACGCACAAAGATGCTGGGCAGGGCCGGTTGGGTGCAGCTGGTTGCTATTTGCCATTTGCCATTTGCCATTTGCCATTTGCTATTTGCCAAGTAACAATTCTTAAGTTACTGCAAATGGGGTCAAGTGCCGAGATTATCGCGGTAGCATCGCAGGAAGAAAAATATTATTACCGCATCTATCAAATAACGGCGCAACAATGAAAGTTGTTGCTTACTACCTAGCAAGTCAAAGGGGCAAAAAAAGTCATTCGCCGTCTCGGGGATGTACGCAGCCTTCGGACATTGGATCTAATAGGTAGTAACCTTTCTAGTTAGGGCCCGGCTGACACTTTTGCCCGGCTGCTCGCTGCTAAACCCCAGAAGGGAAAAAAAAGAAAAAAGACCAAGGAAAAAAATTAAATAGAGGTCTCCGCTGGGTCGGTGCTGATGGCGCGGCGCAAGAACAAGTCCCAACGATGAGAGACTCGGCGTTGTTACTTTGTACTGTACAAAGAAAAACGTTTCTCTCGCCAAGCACGCCACTGTTTTCTTCAACATGTGGCTATTGATAATATAGCATCATATATAACTCAACTCGTACGGTCTTGCCGTGTTTTTTCGTGTCAACTTTCTCCGCGGGTCCCCACGTTGTCCGTCCAAAAGAACCAACATGACATCGATATCCGCCACCGACGCCGCCGACGCCGCCGTCGCCGCCGAAACCGCCGTCACCACCAACAACACCACCACCAACAACACCACCACCAACAACAACACCACCACCACCACCACCACCAACACCAACACAATGCAGCAGCCGCAGCTGCAGCCCGCGCCGGGCCACCGAGCCAGCGCGAACGAATCTCTGCAAGAGCCCTGCGTGAACAGCCGGGGCTGGCGCAAGATTGTGCGCAACTTTACGCCGTCGTGAGTACATACATACTAACCCCCGTTATGACACATCCCGCCAGCCGACAAGCCGGCCCGCCTCCTCACCAAGGAAATTTTCGGAAAAAAGAAAAAAACATCAGAAGGCTTGCTGGGCGACACGACGCACACGAAATATAATGGAAACACCTCGAAAGAACAGAATACTTATGATTTCACTGTTACAGATGGTTCGCAGTCAACATGGGCACCGGCATCGTCTCGATCCTCCTCCACAACCTGCCCTACAACGCCTCATGGCTGCGGTACATTTCCTACGTCATCTTTGGCCTCAACGTCGTCCTCTTCACCACTTTTTGCGTCATGAGCATCCTCCGCTACGCGCTCTACCCAAAGATCTGGAGCGCCATGCTCGCGCACCCGGGGCAGTCCCTCTTCCTGGGCTGCTTCCCCATGGGCTTTGCCAGTAAGCCGCAACCAACCCCCCCGCCCCCGCTAAGAAAAGCACCTTTCACTAAACCAACAACCCGGCAGCCATCATCAACATGATGATCTTTTCCTGCAGCCATTGGGGTAGCGGGCTCATCCACCTCGCCTGGGCGTTTTGGTGGATCGACTCGCTCCTCTCCATAGCCACCTGCATCTCCATGCCCTTCATCGTCATGCACTGGCACCGGCCCGGTCTCGAAAACACTACGGCCGCGCTGCTTCTTCCCGTCGTGCCCACCATCGTAGCCGCCGCCACCGGCGGCATCGTCGCCGAGGTGCTTCCGGACCCGGGCCGCGCCTACATGACCCTCGTCGTCTCCTACGTCCTCTGGGGCATTGGCGAGTCCCTCTCCGCCTGCGTCCTCGCCCTGTACTTTCACCGTCTCACCGTCCACGACCTGCCCCCACGTGACGTCATCGTATCCGTCTTCCTGCCCATTGGTCCGCTCGGCCAGGGCGGCTTCGGCATCCAGCAGCTCGGCAAGGTCGCCCTGCGGCGCCTGCCCGAGACCACCGCCTTTGCCCCCGCCGTCGCCGCCGGTTTCGACCCGGCCCGCGCCGCCGAGATCCTCTACGTCCTCGGGGTCTTCCTCGCCCTCGTCATGTGGGGGTTCGCCTTGCTCTGGGTCAGCTTTGCCCTTATCAGCCTCGCTACCACCGCCCGCTTTCCTTTCAACATGGGCTGGTGGGGTTTCACCTTCCCTCTCGGCGTTTGGGGCACCTGTACCTCTCTTCTCGCCGCCAATCTCGACAGCCATTTTTTCAAGGTTGCCACCATGATCATCTCTCTCGCTGTGCTGCTGCTCTGGCTCATGGTCGGCGCGCGCACCGTGCACTTGGCCCTCAGCGGCGCCATGTTTGTTGCGCCCTGCCTTAAGACGCTGCAAGAAAAGGATGCTGTGCCTGCGAGCCAGACCGGAGTCAAAAAGTAGCATTTTTTGGATGTTTCCCTCATCAGCATTGCCTCGGCGTTATCACGACTGATTTCATCCATTTTTGCATCAATTCAACATGTACAACACTGCACATATGGCTTCGTGTGCATAGGTGTCCGATATAACAAATCATGCGCTTCCAAATTCAGTAATTTAGTAATCAGCACTTTCAGCTAGACTTGTTTGATACTTCTCCTATACTTGTTCACTGTCTCTGTGTGTATAGACTGAATTCGATATGCTATGCAATGTTTGTAAGTATTCCGTCGCCTTTCTTTGGTTCATTCTTCTTCTCACAATGGCCTATCTGCGCTTATAAACATCTTACATGGCACAGCATCTCATCTATCTGAGCCATCGCGCATAGGCCCAGCGAATTCTTGCCAGAGCCTTGGCTTGAAAACCAATGCCCTTGATGTTGGCCAGGTCGTCCAAATCTTCCAAAAAGTCCTGCTGTACGCTTCTTGGGAGGAGCGTCGTCGTGAGGCTGCGTAGCACATGCAACTCGCACAACAACAACCCGTGGTCCTTGTACGAGAGCATGTTGCTGTCTGTGGGGCTCGCTTCGGACAAGATACGGTCAATGTTGCGCAGGATGCGAATGGCGCGGCCAGCTGTACCACTCTGCTGTCGTCCCGAGCGACCACCTAGCATCGCGTGGAGGTAGCGAAAGACGCCGATCGAAACAAGAACTCCCGGTGTCAGGCCCACGAACCCAAAAACAAGTTCTTGGCTCTTCAGCAGTGAGTCAATGCCAGTCATGGCTACTTCCAGGTCGACTTTGGTCTTTTGCACTTGAATGAGCAGTGAGCGCACCAGGTCTCCGGTCACGGCGCCCACCAGTGGCTTCCTTAGATACTTTTCATACGCACGCAGCACAGGAGTCACATCGCCCTCGGCAACTTTGCGGCGAACCTCACTAACATGGGCTTCGGTGATTGATGAGCCTTCCACGCCTTCCACGACAAACTGCGGATTGTCCTGAGCGAATTCAACCACCATGCGTTCCAGGCTTTCCCGATCGGCCTTGAGGCTGTCCCGGCTCATAATGGCAATCTCACTCGTCTCGTCATGTCGGATGGTCTTGACAATTTTTTGAGTGGGGTCAACAATCCAGTTGAGCCAAAAATCTCGTACCGTAGCGCCAAAATCAGTCACCCATTCCACAATCTCAGCTCGGCGATTGACGAGAATGCGCAGTATCGTGCTCGAAGAGACAAGACTAACAATGACAGGAATCCAGTAACGCACAACAGCATGCGGCCGTCCGTTGGCTACAGCTAGTTGGTTCATAGTCGACACATGTTGAGGAAGAACCTTGTCGATAATGTTCAAGAGCCGTCGCGCGAGCACAGATGACCTACCAGGCGTGGCAGTGTCTTCCAGGTGCACGGAAAGCTCGGCGTCTTCTTCAACACCAGCAAAAACCTTGTCCTCAAACTCGTGAACGCCCATGTCTAGAGTAGACACTTCTTTCAGCACCATATCGATTAGCGCGACACTGCGCTCGACGATACCCTTGAGATGAGCACCTTGCATCTGAACTGTGCCATCGCTGGAATCGAATTGTAGACCCTCGTCCATCAAAACACCAAGCCCGCTGGCAGTGATTTCTCTCAGCTTCTGGAGCTCTGCCCGTTTCTTTCGGGCTTCACTCCGACAGTATGCCACGGGTGAGAGAACCTTGCGCTGCACATTGACCAATGATCGTTCAATGATGCTCTCGCGGACGATACCATAAAACTTGCGCCATTGCTGCGTCACACCAGTTCCAGCCTGTACGAGATCTGACGAGGCTCCCCTCACGTCGAATGAGTTGATGCGCGCCTTGCTGGCAATGTATACCTCCTGCGTCCATGCCCAAAAGCGTAGAGGTGAGGTCTGGACCGTGTAGAGGCTGCTGTACGTGTAAGAATTGAGGACCTCTGACCAGTACCAGATGTCATCGCCCAGAGGAATGATGCGGTCAAGAAGTGTGTTGAGAATGGCCCCGTATATCTGGATTGTGGCCTTTGTGACAAGAAGCCACTCTACTTCGTTTTCGTAGTGGCTTTTAGCTTCAACAGACGAAAGGCTGGCTGTACCATCGGCTTGGTACGCCAGAATGTCGGACTGAATCAAAAGCGAGCGAACGTAGTCAAGGGGAACAAGAGGCTGAGATGAAGAAGTACTGCTTAGAGACTGGACGAGATGCAGGAGCTGATCAATTCTTGGTGAGGTCAGAGCCTGAGCAGCAACGATGGTTTGATCATCAGAATCCGAGGCTGCGTCATCTGGTGCCAAGTCGGCCAGAACGGGCAGGCGGTCCAGGTATGCGTCGAGGCGACGGACTTGGCTATATATCGATGATTAGATGCAGTGGTCTTGGAAAGTGGCGCAGTCGAGGCTCGACATACTCACTGACGAGCGTCATGGCAGCTGATGAGGCCCGCCACAGTCACTGTCGGACAGTCGGGAAATCCCCAAAACGCGCTCAATTGAGCATAGATCTGGGCATGCAATAGAATGGTGGGAATATGTAATGGGCGGGGGGATTATGATCAGATCACACCATCAGACGTATAATGGGAGATTGATACCCGCCGGGTGCACGTTTGAGCGATACCAGTAGCTTGGATGATGTCGTTGGAACTGGCGCAAGTGGCTTCATGTGCTCTGCGACTGGCTGAGAATTAAATGGGGCACAGTCTCGTACTCGGATTCGCAAAATACCTATCCAAGGCTAACTATCCTAGGAAGGAGGCTTGCCGATTCTCCAGCAGTTCTCAAATCTAAGACCCCTACCACAGCTGCTGTTAAAAGTGTTGTTGTTCCTATTATTATGATTGCTATTGGTGCTGTCGACTGTTGACGAGCATCGAGAGGGCTCAATAATGACCCTCGTGCTTGGAATTTCAGTTGTCATGCTGGGAATGGCAAGTTTGATGGAGAAAACTAAGCAACGCAGAAATGAACAGAGATATTAAAACTAGGAAATTACAGAGGAAGATACTCGTATGAACAAAGAGAACTCGATGATTGATTCTCACAATTTAGAAGAAAAAAGTTTCCAGTTCCAACTACTCAAAGGATCATGTCTCCCTGACGTTCGATACCTGTATGCAGGAGTCTCTACAGCAGGACTCATGAAAAAGACGAGAAAAGAAGACTTCAAGACCACTGATGAGATTCATGACCTGACTTTTGTAAACCGTCGGTGCGCCCACAAGGCTACTCTCGCAGTGGTACTTGCTTGCTTGTCTGTATTCGTACGGAAACCTGGGAGCCGAGGTGGGCTCATGGTGGACAGGAACGAGTAGGTATCTTCACAGCGTGGTCTGGTGCTGTGGTACCTTTGCCACCTTCTATTTTTGCGGGCCCTTGCGCCACTGCGCCAAACACTCGGCGCGACAGGTACCGCCCATCTCCTGAGCGATGCTCCCTGAAATGGGAGGGGGAACAGTTGACATAAAGATAAAAATCTCCTTCCCCCCACACTATTCCCGCCCCTAATTACTGACCTTTTCCTTCAAGCTGCCATCGACCTGGGCGTTCATTTCTTTTCCTTTTCTCATCGTCTGAAGTTGCGAGTTACTTCCCCCAACCATCTCTGCGTGTCAATTCTGCCAAAGACTCGCCCATCATGGACGTGGTGTGAGTATTTCCCCGTCGCGCATGCAGTCTCAACACTCAGCACCAGGACTAGTTATTAACCAAACATGGTATTCTAGCAACGCCACCATCCGCGCTGCCAACTCGACGCTGGACTACTCTACGGTCTTGAGCGAGGTCAGCAAGCACACCATTAACCTCAACTATTTTGAGCGCCTCTGGGCCGTAAGTCGCCATCGAACCTCCCACGACCGACACCGCTCCCTTCGCTAATCATACAACTGCAGGCCTGGTACTTGTGGATGCAAAATGACACTCTCGCGACCGGAATCCTGAGCTTCGTCATGCACGAACTAGTCTACTTTGGCCGCTGTATTCCGTACATGCTTCTCGACAGAATCCCTTATTTTCACAAGTACAAGCTCCAGGCCCAGAAGATCCCGACTCTAAAGGAGCAATGGGATTGCGCCGCCATTGTTCTCATCAGCCATTTCACCGCCGAGCTGCCTCAAATCTGGTTCTTCCACCCCATCGCCACCTACTTTGGTATCGACTACGGCACACCTTTCCCTGCTCTGACCACCATGGCCTGGCAGATTGCCATCCTCTTCGTCATGGAGGATACATGGCACTACTGGTTCCATCGTGCTCTACACTACGGTCCCCTGTACAAGGCCATTCACAAGATGCATCACACATACTCTGCTCCCTTCGGTCTTGCTGCCGAGTATGCTTCTCCTATTGAGACTATGCTTCTCGGTCTCGGCACCGTCGGATCTCCGATTCTCCTGCTCGGTATCACCGGCCACCTGCACCTAGTCACAATGTACACCTGGATCGTCCTTCGCCTGTTCCAAGCTATCGATGCCCACAGCGGCTACGACTTCCCCTGGAGCCTGCGCCACTTCCTCCCCGTCTGGGCTGGCGCCGACCACCACGATGTTCACCACGAAAAGTTCATCGGCAACTATGCTTCTTCTTTCCGCTGGTGGGACTACTTCCTGGACACCGAGGCCGGTGCTGAGGCTCACAAGAGGCGTCGCGACAGAAAGCTCGCCAAGATTCGCGCCAAGAAGGAAAATTAGACTTTGCAGAAACATTCGGAATGGCGACATAGAGGCAGAAGCTCACAACAATTTGGGATTTCCAAGAGACGAGGGAGGCGATAATTCAATGAATGATATAAACAAGAACAGGCCTAGGAGCCTGATAATAGGCGGCACGGGACCTCACTTATGGCGTTGGGACATTGATAACTGAGTACGGGAAGTGCTGTTGCATTTGCATTATTATTTTTTGTATATACTATACGCGCCTCTTTGGGAAAAGGATTAGACCATTACCTAATAATACTCTACGTCACTCGTTGATTTCAATACAGTTGTCATATCAAAAACAGTTTCATGTGTGTTGGAGCATGACTGATACAAAGACAACGACTATAATCATAAAATACATGTTAAAGGTGTGTGGGTATCCTGTTCCATTCGTTGCACGTTACTTCTTCGGTGTGCAGCAGTCTCCAGCCGAAGCAGCAGCCGTGTCAGCCAGAGCGCCAAGCTCGCAGCTCGTCTTGTCACTCTCGACCTCGCCAAAGTGCTTTGCCAGGAAGTCGCAGGTGATGGCCATGTCTAAGTCCTTGATCGACAGACCCTTGGGGTTGTGCGTCGTCCAGCGGATGAATGTAGTATTGTACACCTACAGATGTGAGAAACAAAAGCGGAAATAAAACGCAACATGATTCTTACATTGGACCACTCCGGGTGATGCTTGTTCTTCTTGGCCTCTGCGGCGATGGCATTCATAAACTCCTATGAGGTGGCAGGTGAGCAAGGCATATATGTACTCCGGGGTAAAGTGCCATTTCATGCATCATCAACTCCAAAGGCAGCTACATACCCAAGTTTTGTTAAAGGTGGCAAATTTGAAGCTGCGCTCTATACCGTAGCCGTCGGCTGTGAGCGTCCACTTGCCGCCCGCGTTGGGGGTGATGAGCGGCCGGAGCGCCTCGGTGGCGGCGTTCTTGTCCGTGCCGGCGGAAAAGGACGGCGGCATGGGCATGGTGGAAAAGGTACCGACGGCGCCGAAAAACGGCGACGCGCTGGCGACATCCGAGGGCATGACGGCGGCGGCAGATCTCTTGGCGAAGGTGGTGGTGGTGGCGGCAGCGGACCTGAGTATGCGAGGGTTGCGCGCAACAGCTCGCAGCATCACGGAGTAGCAAGCTTGCTCTTGAAATGTTTTACAGTCTTACAGAGCTGCGAGGACTAGAGACGCAATTTTCGAAAGCAAGTTTTGAGGAAAACGAGAGACGAGGTATATGGGGAATTTGTTGACTGGAGATGTTGAGCCAAAAGTGGTCTCATGCGACGCAGAGGCAGAGGTTGAGAAAAAAAGTTTCGACGATTTCTGCCAGTGTTGTTAGTGAGGATTTTGGTGGCGTCCCCTGCCAAGGAGCACTAATAAGTGGACGGCATCGGTCGACAACGGAAAGAATGCACCGCAGCGAATACAACAACCTTTGGTCTAGATAATTGCGTGACGATGCGACGGCCAACAAACGTAATGAACGGAAAGCAGAAAGAGCGTTGCAGCTAATTTTTATCGTCATGTGGTGCACGAGACGGTTGCAGCGTGACCCTGCTGGCGTGTAAGTGACTGACAACGGCACGTTGTAAGACGATGATTTCCAGCAGCACTACTTGAAATTGAACTGCGAATACGAAAAACATGTACAGAGCTAGATAAGACAAAGACAAAAACATTGCCGAAGAACATGTAACCAGACAAGCCAAGTATTGTACAAAAGCGCGTATACCTTTGGGCAAGCTCTGCCATGTCTTGGTACAGGTCACTGCGCGTAATGCAATCAGCGTGTTTGGCGTTCTAAAAGGCGATGAGGTTGAAGCCACTGGTAGAGTTGTTGAAACTATGATTTATCTGAATCAAGATCAATCAGCTTTTTCCAATATTTTCAACCCCCATATCAGAATCGGGAATTTTCGTAATTTGACATGCTAAACGCAGCAGCACGCAAGATGCGGACGGAATTTGGACCGCTGCCCTAATGCTGTCGGGCAATAGGTCCCCTCTGACGCATGCCGCGACTTCAAAAGTACTTACGGATACAGTCGACAAGTAATCCCAAAAGGCAGCCGTCGCACTAGTCCGAAAACAGCACTGCCTGCCAGCACAAGGAGGTACCTCGTCGTCCCGCCATATTCACACCAAGACAGAGGTACACTTGATTCCGCTAACACCGAGAACGCGCTTCTGATGCTCGTACCAAAAGGCTGCTCGGGAGGGGGAAAAGAGAGAGAAAGGGCTAGAAAAGACGGCGGAAAATCCAGGCTCCCGCCACTCCGTTTTCCTGAGTTTTTCCGCTCTCACCCCCCTTTTTTTCTTACCAGCTGCAACATTTTTCGTTTCTCAACTTTGGGTTCTGGTTCTGTTTTGCTTTGTCATCATCTGTTCTGGCCCTTGGTACTTTTTTTTTTGCCGCCTTTGTCTTGGTTACATAATTTCGCATCGCCGCCTTCGTGCAAAAACCGGTCCATCTTTTTTTCTTCATCACGTCAGCAAGGTGACGGTTTGGCAAGGGACAAATCGACGAAACCATAATTAGTCGTGAGTAGTCATCATTTGCCCGCACTCTTCCTCCCTACCCCGGCTTTGGCCGCCGCTCGACTTGCCCGCCAAGCCCCGGGCTGCTGCACTGATGCGTGCTGAGTCAGAATCAATAGACATCTTCAACACCTCTTTCGCCATGTCCTCCGCCGGCGCAAGTAATCAAGGTCAGTAAATTTACTCTTCATCTTTGTTTTTTTGTCTCTTTTACTTTGCCCACGTCCGCGCTGCTCCCGCTGCCAAACTCCGTTGCTTCCGCGTGGTGTTTGCATCTTGACGCATCTACGCCCGCTTCAAAGCACATCATCTTGTATGAGAGCGAACCCATCGTACACTGCTTTTACTTTTGTGCTCTTGCACCTAGCCCATCTACACTCCTCAGGAGCGAGATCCGCCTTGACACACATTTCCTTCCGGTCAACACCGTCTTGCCTACTTGCCTGCTTTCCAATCGCGCTTATCCGACTCCGAGTACTAACATGCTGTCGCCGCCAACAGAGCAACATTTGCGTGCTCAACTCGAGCTCCTGCAGAACCACGAAGCCGAGCACTCTCCCGCATCGCCCAGCTCCGGCACACGCGATTCTCGCGACGCATCCGCGCGGCCGTCCAACGGCTACGACGACTTGCACTTCTCCAGCGTTCAGGACACGGCCGCCCGCGCGCTCGCCACTAAGAGCGACGCCGACTCCCACATCCACCCCGACCTTCGCGCCGCACACGAACAGCACTCGCCAACGGACTCCATGATGCAGCTGTCCCACCAAGATCACCAGAGTCACAGCCCCGTGTCCTCGGGCGGCGGCGGCGGCGGCGGCGGCCATCAGCACGGTGGCGCCCCGCTGGCACCGGCGGGCGGCGAGCCCATGGCCATTGATCCCACCGATGGGCGCAAGACCAATAAGAGAGAGCTTTCGCAGTCGAAGCGTGCAGCCCAAAACAGAGCCGCTCAAGTATGTCACTCCCCTGTCCGACCCCGAGATGGCCAATCGACGCGTGCGCTACTAACACAGACTTGCCTTGCAGCGCGCATTCCGCCAGCGCAAGGAGGGCTACATCAAGAAGCTGGAACAGCAGGTCCGCGACTACAGCGACATGGAAGTCACGTTGAAGCAGTACCAGTCGGAAAACTACGCCCTGCGTGAGTACGTCATCCAGCTGCAGTCGCGGCTGCTTGAGACCATCGGCGAGTTCCCCCCGCCGCCGCCCAACATCAACCTCGCCCACCCAACGACGCAGGGCCAGCTGTCTGCGCCGCTGCCGCCGGCGGCCGAGACCCAGCCCGAGAGCACGACCGCTGGCACGCCGCTCGAGGCTGTCGCCCAGGCCGTCGCCGGGCTCGCGGCTCAGGAGCAGCTATCGGAACAGCAGCAGCAGCAGCAAGGGCGCCCGCAGTACACAGCAGAGACCTTCAAGAGCGGCCCGGATCATGAGGACACGCGGACGGCCGAGGAGATCAACCGGCAACTCAGCACGGAGGAGGGGGCAACGGCGTAGTGATACTGATGCTTCCCTCTCCTACGACTTGGCTTTTTGCGGACATGCACGCCCACGGCTCTAATAATCCCCGTGCGCTCTGTATCATTGCTTTTCTGCTATTTGCGAGGCGTTTTCGGCAACGCGCGGGCTCCAAGATATTCTCATTTCATATTTCTGGCGTTTTCTTGTTTGGTGTAGGTAGGGCTTTGTTTGGACCATGACTCTTTTTAATCTCCCCCCCATTGCTGTTTTGTTAAGGCCTACACGCCATGAAACAAAAAACGTGTATTTGCCACTGGGCAACAAAATTTAACCATGAGCACTTTTTTCCGTATGGGATGAGAGACGTGGAAATGCGAGATTCAACGCAAGGCGATGATGGATTTTTAGACGACTGCTCGGAAGAGCCTTTTTTTTTTCTTTACAGAAACAATACAAATACTTGCCGACTTTCTCCATGTCACTGGGTTATCGAGATATGTTGGCAAGTGCCCTCTCTCTCCTTTGCAATTGAAATAACTCGTAAATAGTCTAGCTACCAAAACACCCGTACCTGTCCTTTTTTTTACTTTTTTGGATGATATACTGGAACCAGAGAAAGATGTCGACAACTCCCTACCCCCGCACCGATTCAAAAACTCCTGCGTCACATGCACGTCCGTTTACGCGTACGAGTTGCCCATATCGTGTTCCTGTGATAAAGTCAGCGTATTTGCGTCCCCCAAATGAAACATTGGTTACAACAGAAGGAAAAAAGAAGAAGAAAACGTACCTTGATGTAATCGGCGCCCTTTTCGAGATACTCTGCCCGCGACACTGTCGCCTGCTTCCACTGCGGCGTGCCCGTCCAGCCGGCGGCGCCCTTCCAGGCGTCGAGCAGCGGATCCTGCGCGCGGCGCACCCGCAGCGGCGCGTCAGCGGGCAGCAGAGCCCTCAGGCCGTCGCGCATGCGCTGGTCAAAGTTGCGAAACAGCGTGTTGCCGCCGGTCAGGAAGACGTCCTTGAGAAACTCGTCAACGTCGCCGCCGTGCAGACCCGCGAGGCGCTGGTTCAGCACGTCGCCGGCAATCTCGACGACGCCCGACTGATCGACGCCGGCAATGGACGGGCGGAAGACGACCTCGGGCACGCGGATGCGCTCGACGTTGAGATGGATCTGGTTGAGTTGGGCCTGCGAGCCCGCGTCAAACGGGCGCGGACCGCGCGCAAACGCGTGTAACAGCGAGCGGGACCAGTCCGACTGCGCCTCCTGCGTGTGCTCGTACGTGAATGCCGGGTCGTACCGGAGCAGCTCCTGCTCGAGGGTCCGCAGGCTCGAGTTGAGGTCCTCCTCCTCGTGCTCGTCGTCGCTGTTGTCGCCCACGGTGATTTGCCGGTACACGCCCCAGTCATCGTCGTCGGCGCCAAAGTTGTCGTCGTCGCCCCCGCGGCGCCGCTTCTTGGTCGGCGTGTCCGACGCCAAGTTGGCGATGCTCTTCATGCGGATCTGCGACGCCAGCGACTTGCGGTTGCCCAGATCCTGCTTCAGACGGTCGCGCTCCTTGATCTTTTGCAAAGCCTCCAGCCGTGCCTGGCGCTTCTCCTCCAGCCACCCCTCCAGATTGTTCTCGCGGCGCTCCCTGTCCAGGCGCTCCTCTTCTTCGATCCGGGCCTTTTCGGCTTCCTTCTCCGCCTTGGCGCGGGCGCGAGCGTCGTGGTTGGACTTGAGCAGTCGCTGCTGTCGCTTCTGCTTGAGTCGCGCTTCGTCGAGCTGGTCATCTGGAATGTCGAGCAGATCAAAGTTGGGCTCCTCCTCCTCCTCCTCGGGATCGCCACCAACATCCTTTATTCTTGCTTTCCTGATGGCCTTGTCCAGTTCCTTGATCATCTTTTCGAGCTGCGCTTCATCCTTGATCTCGTTGCTATCTAAAAGCCGCCTCGTTTCCTTCTTTGTTTCGTTAGTAATTTGCTCCTGTAGACTCTTGTAATACTCCAGATCCTGCTCCTTCTTCATTAGCTTTTCCAAGCGCATCTTGGCAGCCTGTTCCTGTAATCGACGGCCACTCTCCTTTTTGCGCTCCGCTATGCGCGCCAATTCCTCTTCCGACTTTTTCACGACGACTTCCTCTGTGAATGGGTACTGAATGACAATATCGCGGTCTTCGAGGCCACTCCAGTCCAAATAGCCCTTGATCTCGTCCTCATACGAGTCAGACACGTAGCAATGATCCTGAACCATGTGCTCTGCCTGAGAAACATTGAGCTTGCCGGCAAAAGCAGGGTATTTGAGACGGATCAACTTGAGGAGATATTCGGAACAATGATACCCTCCCCAATTTAGTCGTGTAGCTTGGCCAAGCAAAGCTTTCGAGTTATAAACGGGTATGATATGTGTGGAGGTGTAAGACGATGATACGACAAGGCCGGTCTTTCCTTGGTTGTGTCGGAACGAAAAGAGAGAGTCGATGCCGTAAGCTAGCGAAGGCGCACCGTAGCATTCGAAAATGATTTCCGTCATTGCTAAAAAAGAGGTCAGATTCTTTCACCGAGTTCCAAGGGAGGCAATTGCACATACACTTCCGCGAGTAGGGCAGGTTAGCGACAGCTTCGGTCATAACGACGGGCACATCAATGCCTCCATCGGAGTCGTTCATGCCGAGCTTCAGGAAGATGTAGTCAAGAACATGTTCCATTACGTCCCAATTGCTGACGATTCCGGTTCCTTGCTCAAAGGCGTTGCGGATGTGGCCTCTGGCAGTCGTATCGGCGAAGCAGTCGGCGCCGGCAAAGGAAAAGGTTTTGCCAATCTTGCGATCGCGATATTTGGCCATGATCGGAGGTATGCTGAAGCGCGGCGCATCTTCAAACGACCATCCAGCGCGAACGGCGGAGGACCCTGCACAAAGGCATCGTCAGTCGGTGCAGGATGTTTGTTGCCCGCCAAAGTTGGGTGCTGCGCGCAACGCGACCTACCATTGTCAATGACAATCGCTGCGTTGCCATTCTGCTGAAGGGCCTTCTTGTGCCCTTCGCTATCTGGAGCGATAAACTTTTCGAAGCGCGTCTCCTTGACGGGATAGATCTTGGCTGGAGGGTACGTCTTCTCCTCCGGTTGCGCTGCCGCGACGGGCTGCTCGTTCGTCGCCGAGGGAGCCATGGCTGGGGTCGTCGGAGCAGAATATGCTGGCTATGGGAAATCAATGATCATGTCCAGGCGATGTGTAGGATGAAGGAGAGTGGCCAGTGGCGAATTTGAGTGGCCACCTTTGAAGTCGATGTGGTGGTGGATGCTTTATTAGTGTTACCGGCCGCAAGGTCGCAGGCTCGAAATCGCACAGCCAATGCGAGGCTGCAAGGCTGATACTCTGTGGTGGGTCAAGTAACTGATTGCTATCACGACGTGACTGAGCGCGTTGATGTACGGTTTCGGAGTGCTTTTTTAAGGACTCAACTATAAATTCATGGTATGAGAAGGAAAATCGTCATAGTAATTGTCAATGCTTGATTCATGGTCTCGTTACGTGGGCACAAAACCCCAGCCATGTACTACTACTTCTATCAAGAGCGCGTCACCAACTTAAGATGGTGGCTTTAGATTATCCGTGGCTGCAGAAAAGTAAGCAATCTATCCATGGGACGGGAGAGCATACGAAATTTCTCACCTTCGAGATGAAATAGAACGTTTGACTGATAATTTTTGAACATTTGCGCCACCAGCTCGACATTCATGTTTTGGATGTTGATGTCCTTGACAAACGTTAGCCTAGACGTCGTTGTGTGGTACTTTTTAAACATACCTGAAGGCTTTTGTTCATGACCACAACGGCTTCGTTGAGTTTTTCCTATATGACTTAGCACAAGCCGCGCATGGATAACGAGCGTCTGCATACCACGTTGTTGATTATGCGGGATAGCAAGAGATTCTGCTGGTGCTCGTGCGGGCTCTCCTACTTTGGCGTCAGCAATGAAAGAGTAAAAATACAGTAGTCTACAAACCATTTTGACAGCTTTCAATTCAATACGAGAATCTTCAAATAAGTCGCGTAAAGTGACAGAGGAGGTCGCGCGTCACGGCCGTCCAGCAACATGCAGTACGAGGAGCGGTGAGTAGCGGCAAAATACCAGGCGCCAGCAGATGTCAAGGCGGCAAGCTTCAGGACGAGCAGATTGTTGGAGCGAATCGCCACGCAACCGCCGCATCGAAAACAGTGGTCATTGCATCTAGACACCCGCCTCCGAGCACGATATTACTATACAATGGCCGCGCCCACGGAAGCTCAGCTCGCTCATCAGAAGCTCCTGGAGGAGCTTGACACCCACGCGATCCAAAAGACGTTTCGCAGCGCGACGTGGAAGCCCAACCAGCGCCGCAACAAGAACCTCAAGGCCATTGTCGGCGACGCCTCTAAGAGAGAAGCGTCGGCGCTGGCGACCCCGGCAGATCACAGCGGCGCCGCGACGCCTGCTCGCGACGACGGCCTCTCAACGAGCGGCGCCTCGACACCCGCGACCGCGGCCAACACCAACAGCGCGGCGCCCAATCTGGCGCAGGCATCCAGCAGCCTGTCGAAACTTGTGCTTGAAAAGAGTCTGAAGCCTCCTGGCGGTGCGGTGGGCAGCGCCGGCGGAGGCAGCACGCCGGCGGCCACGTACACAAACATCGAATCGGCGCCATCACTGGCACACGCGAAGCGGTATTGCGACGTCACGGGGCTCCCGGCGCCGTACTTTGATCCAAAGTCGAGGATGCGCTACCACAATAAGGAGATTTTTGCCCTGATCCGCTCGCTCCCGCAGAGCACGGCCGAGCTGTATCTCGAGGCCCGTGGCGCGCACACCATCTTGAAGTGATGCAGCTGCAGCGGTGTATCACCAGCAATTGACGGCGCCGGTCCACGCGGCCACGTCTTGGCTTCTACGACCACAAATCTCTTCTTCACCTGCAAGCAGCACAATAAGGATTTTTCTACGTGAAGTGTGCGACCAACAAAGTCAAGCCTCAACTATGCACCCTCGGCCTCTCAGCCAAGGGATGGCAGTCGACGCTCCGGCTTAATCGTGATCAGTTGCTCTCTGCCAATAGATCGACACGTACCGAGGAAACATGGGAGGTTCCCTCAGTTGCCAGAGCCCAAAGAGGTCTCGGCTGTCGAGGCATACGTGTATGTAATAAAATGTCACAAATAGATACGGCGTTGAATTGATGAGATATTTTTGATACTGCTCAGGTGTTGACGAAAGCTCTTGCTTGTTGCATGAATGCCAGAGGGCCTGGCTCGAGACCTGCTCTTGTGCCCCTTACCGTAGGCAGAATAACTCAGCAAATAGAGCAAAAATACCCTCGTGTCAAGCTGATCAGTGCAATGAGACTTCAAGTCGCGAGCGCAGAGGAGCGCAGCATGCAACGTGAGGCGTTTAGGCGTAAATCGCCGTTACTCGTTTGGCATGATCAATGGAAGTAAAAGAGCACGGTGACGAGGCATGTTGAGCAAAAGTTGGTCGTGGGCAAGAAAAGTGTGGGGCCCACTCCAAATGCCCGCCGCTCTAAGAACGTCTTCGGGCAGCACCAAAGCTAATAGGCAGATTACACAAACTCTCTAAAGCGGCGCTTTGACAATGCGCTCAAACGTAAACGACCCCCCTGCAGTGCCGTTCCTGACAGCGGGTGGGTGCTAAATTTAGGGGATCTCTCTTTCGAAGGCAAAGGTGTCCTGGAAATTAGATAGGCATTCTCGATAAGCCTCTTTTTCACATCTTCTCCCTTAATATTTTTGCCTTTTCACACGCACAATTGAATCACGTCTTCTTCAAACATCTTTCTTTTCCTGAGCTCTACTTTTTTTTCTCCCTTTCCCACGAGGCTCAACCCGCAATCATGTCTTCGATGTGGCTCTCGGACACGCAGAGTAGGTGATGCGCTTCGCGTTGGAAGGGGGGTTTGTCGCTGCGATATGACAGCCTCCAGCCTGCTGCACTCCAGTAATGGCCCTAGACGAGGAAGGCTAACCATGTTATACAGAAATTGGCGTTGTTTTCTGCTCTGGAGGTATGTTGCGACTAGGAATCTGCGTTGGCGCAAAGCCCGATTCGGCGCCTGGGCTCCCCCCGCGTGCCATACTAACCCGCCTTCTAGGTGGTCTGTTTCTGATTGGAGGAGTCATGTTCTTCTTTGACCGTGCCATGTAAGGTGCCCATGATGTATCGACACGCCTACAACTGCTAACAAGTCCCGCAGGCTTGCCATGGGAAATGTACGAAAGCTCTCGATCTACCACCTCCCTCACCCGCTGTCTTCGAAGCCGAGAGCGAGACAAACTTACGCTGATACTTGAAACTGCAGATTCTCTTCCTCATTGGTCTCACCATCATCATCGGCCCCCAAAAGACGCTCGCCTTCTTCGCGCGTAAGCAAAAGGCCAAGGGCACGGCCGCCTTCTTCGCCGGCCTCATCCTTATCCTCTTGCGCTGGACGATTATCGGGTTCCTGGTCGAGGGCTACGGCATCGTGATTCTCTTTGGCGACTTTCTCGGCACGATTGCAGGCTTTGCGCGCGGCATCCCCGTCGTCGGGCCGTACATTGGCCTCGTCATCGACCGCCTGGGCGTCGCCCGCAACAACGCGGAGCTCCCCGTATAAGGAGCCCGTGACAGGCCGACGGAGCAAAAGCAGAACGCGAAACGGCCAGCTTTCGGCATCTGTCTCTTCGATTCGATTTAAACAAAGATCCGACCCCGCCCCTCACGACACAAACTGACCTGAGCGGATCCATTTTCGATAACTTTTTAATTCAAACACAGCCGTCGACTGTAACAGAAGGGAGCATCCCGGGGCTATCGGGGGAATTCAAAAACAAGTGAGAAGGTGAATGATGTAAGAAACTGGCGTTATATACTGTGGGAATGCTGAACGTGATGATTCTGGATCACCTTCTGGAAAGCTTTCAAATGATTATGATCTCCAAGTGCATATGACACACGAGGATAATGCTAGCGGGCTATAATAGTGAATACCGAGTAACGATTATTCATACTTCAAATACTTCAAGGGCCACATGACAAAACAAAGAGTCGCCTTGTCAGCCGTGAACGAGGAAACTACAAAACGAGATACAACAGCAAATGGTAAACCCTCCTGTGTATTATCCCCTCAAGACACATATGACTCGCTTCCATGATTGAAAAATATGCACAAGTTTTGACTGGCTTCTCATGACAAAACAGGGTGTCCGGTCCGCAGTGGACAACCTCGAGACCCACGGAGATTATGGTTTGAGGGCTGTCCACTGGGACAGGGGAGACTATCGCCTATCAAATTTGCTCTTTCCACCAACGACCCGACCAGCTTTTTCTTCTTCGCTTCGAGAGGGTCTAGTAGCCCTGACCGATGAGGTAGTCGGCAAGACCCTCAACGGTAGAACTGGCGTTGCCGGCAATCTGGGCCTCGCTATGCTGGCCGATGACAATGGCCTGCTTTGTCTTGGCAATGGCGACACCCTCACGTCCCTGTAATCGAGTGTCAAGTCTGTGGTTAGCGGCGTGAAGTTTCGTGGAAGCTCGGGGGGGACTCCATAATAAGTAGGACGAGGTAGCGGGACGACGCTTACCGATCGCGCGTAAATGCTTCGGTCTTCGGCTCTGGCTACGACGTATCGCTCACCGCCAATGAAGAGACCCTCGGCAAAGGCCTTGTCCTTGGCGGCGTTGTCACCGTTGACAATAGCGGAAATGGCTTTCATCTCCTCGGGCTTGACCTATCCATCCCCACAATCGCGTTAGCCACCAAGCTTTGCCTACCCATGATTCCCATCCCTCTCGGGTACCTGGGTTTTTACCTGGAGATCGGCAGAGGTAGCCCAGACGCTGTCTCCGGCGGCGCTGATGATGGCACCCTTGGCGATGTGACCGGTGCCGACGAGGCTAAATTATCCCATTTTGCGTTAATATGGATTCATCGGTAGGCTCGGTGCGATTGTTTCCGTCGGTGCGCGTCGCTGCATGATCGGACGGGGAGACATCTCGTTACCTGGTATCGACGTATGCTGCAGTGCGCAAGTTGTTTTTTGGTTAGCCATTTGAAACGTTGTTGCGGCGGGCGCCTCGCTCTCCTCTCCCGCGGCGGGGGACAGACGAGAGCATCATATTTCAAGCGGTGGGTGATTTACCTTGCCACGACATTATGAGATAGGGGTAGTAGACGGTATTACAGAAATAAAACGGCGCGAGCAAAAGAAAGGAGAGAGAAAAGACGTCGCAAAGGATTTTTTTTTCTCTTGAAGAGAGGAGAAGACTGAGAAATTCACGCGCAATAGCTTGTTTTGTGTAATGTCGAGACGAGGTATTGCCCCTCAGTCGACCGCGAAACTTTGCGGGCAGGCTGCGGGGCTTAAAGTCGCTAGGTGCTGGGTCACAAGTCCAACACCGCGTCTTTTTGGGTGAGGAGTGACTTTGCGTGGCTACCTACATTGTCCAAGCTTCGCAAATGACGACCAGACGCGCCAGGCACCCCGCCAACTGGCATGTTAGGCAGCACAGATACAGCTCTTTCTTGTCAGCTCCAAGACACTGATAACAGCCAGTCCTGCATGTCGCAGGTTTTTGCAGGCTTCTACAGGCATTCCCGGGCTTTTGCAGGCGAAATTTGTTCTCTTCTGCGCCATGTGCGTCGATCTGTTACCTCCAGCTATGCCCGGCTCTGGTGTCTTTGCGGGCACAACAGAGCTCGACGTGGCGTTGGCCTCAATCCAAGAGCCGGGGACGTGTAGCGATGACAATGTCTTCCTAAGTGTTGAGTGTTGGCCTTCATTGAGCTGCACAATGTCCCACTGGCTTCACTCCAGGCTTCTTCTCTGCGAAGTACAGCGACAAGGCAATGCGGCAGAGAGATGACGCCAGCAACCCTCGACCGAGTTTAGGCAACAACATCATACAACAAATCGGCAGATATCTAGATCTGATTGACATCGTTTGGGACGGTGACAAAACAGGCTTGTGGCCACGCACGCGAGAGCTTTGTGCGCATCTGGCAAACAAGCAAATGCAGGCCAACGGCTCCTTACGCATCGCGTTGCCCACTTAGTCCATTCATAAATTTTACACTAAACACGCGAAAACAAGAGGATCGGGCTGAGTGCATCGTGGCTAACAAGGCAACAATACTTATTTTGGGCTGACGCTGGCGAAACGAATCTGTCCGCCCTTTGCGCCAATGACGGACGCTGCCGTCAGACCTGTCATGGTAGTCAATATGCGCATCTTGCGCACCGTTCTCTTCTCGCCACTAGCGCAAATTCATGCAATGCCCACTGTCAAGGCATGTGCCGCGGGATGCCCGTGTGAAAGAGCTACGTTTTGCCAAAGTCGAGGCCGCCAGATGCAAGAATGCACGACAGCATCGAGTCAGTGGCGCCCAATTTTATCGAAACATGTTGTCATCAAAACAAGGCTGGCCCCTGCCTAGGTTGTGCAGAGATAAGGCAATCCGAAAACTTTTGCGCGACGTCGGAGAGTAAAATTGTAGGGAGCGATAGGGGCGTTCTTTTGTGTCATAGGCGACGCTGCTACGCGGTTTGACAATGATGTGGAATTGAAGATTGCAAGAGCAACGGAGAAATAGAAGAGAAGGGGGATTCTAATGGGGTAATGACGGGCCACTACTGACTGCAAGGTAGAATTTACGAATTCAACTCGTCTTGTCGGGCTTTTGATTGAAGCCCACATCCCGACCTCCATTAGTTCGGATGTGATTACTAGTGAGCAAGCACGGAACCGGGACGTTGTGCGAGACTGAGAAGAGACGGGATCCAAAGATATCGGGACCCATGATGAAAGAAACGTGGAGAAGAGAGGCTCTCACCGAGTTGCCCACTCATAAGCAGATGAAATGGCTTGGGCCCTGATCAGCATTTGCCGCTTGGTCTGCCAAGAGGGCCGCAAAGCAAGCAAGTCAGCGCGGTCAATGTTTTGGATTTCAGTTGCTCTCTTTTTTAGCGGGTAATTGAGGCTGTCAGAACTCAGCTGTTCGACTGCTTGGATTTGCAGAGGCTGACCCCTTGTATTTATCTCAAACAAGAACCGCTTGTCGGGCCTCGGTGGCGGTGGATCATCTTGTTGGCGGTTTGCTGGTTGTCGACTCGCAGCAGAGGATGCAGATTATGATACCGAATGTAATATTGGAGGGTGACTAGAGGATCCTTTCGGGACCCGTGCCGTGTATGCAGTTCACGTCATTGTTTTTTTTTTTTTTGGCGAGACAATTTGCCGTGTCTCTGCCAAAGGATCCGTCCGAAAAAGAGATATGATGATGGACAGTCACTGGACATAAAGGTCGTCGTTCATGCAAGCCAGCCTCATCAATAAGCAACGTCAACGGCTCCCCATTAATTACAGTTTCTTCGTATTCTTCATTTAGGCAAAAGTACTTATTAGCGAGCCCCCTTCCTGATATTCTGGATTCCATCCTTTCGACTCCGGGGTTGGGTCTAGTCTTGTGCAAACATGCGCGACATGCTGTGGGCGGCGAGTCCAAAAAATCTGAAACGTTGGTGGGAAAGCAGACCAAAAGAAGGGGGGGGAGATCCGTGCCGAGGCGGCAGGTCTAAAATCATTGTTGCGTTAAACTCTCCATTCCGCTCTTTCATCCAAATATTCTTGCTCCCTGGTACTTGACAGTCTATGGAATCGTCTGTACACGCCCCCCTTCTTCCCTTTCTTTTACACTTTATTTTATTCTATAATAAACTCAAAACTGCAACGCTCAAACGTTTCTTCAACACACAAAATTTGCTCCCTTGGATTGCATCCCGCCGCGGGGACGAGCGTCCCGCTCCAGCCCCAGTAACCGATGGGACTAGAAACTCAGTTTTTTCCATTTCTGGGCATGCTGTAGGCCAGGCCCCTTCAAAAAGTAATGTGCCGATGTCGATACGGCGCGGGTTTTTGTTGCGCGCGCTGCCCATCGTCTTTGTCATGTAAATGAATCGAGACCCAGTCTGCGTCACCCTTTGGGGGGGATCTTTAACGCCCCCTGCCCATTTTTATTTCTTGGGAATCGTCTGTGTATTCCAAACTTGGCATGAGAAAGCGTGTGCATTTCTTCATCTCTAACTGCCTTGCTGCTCCTGCTATTTACCGCTTGTGCAGCCTTGACGTACATGTGCATGCCGTGGTTTCTTTGGAATCTTGCATGACAAGCCCGGCTGCAAACTTACCTCTACACACACAAGTGTCACCGCTTCGCTCGATTCATCGTGTGCTCCCCTCCCACTCCTCTTCTATAATTTCCTTTCCTCAAAGCAAGATCATCTTTGTTTTTCTTTGCCAGCTCTCCAGTCATCGCTCATCTCCGCTAGCATGTTGACTTAATACCCACCGCTTATACCCTCCACCTGACTGACAAACGGTGACAAAGACACCTATTACTCGATATCATGGCTGCCAGGAGCTCGCTCAACGCAGAACAATCAAGTTCTCCTCTCCAATTTCCTACGGATAACCATAATCAAGGCATTGGCGTAGCCTTGGGAAGTCCACGGTTGGCGCTTATGCCCGGTCAAGACCCCAGCATGATTCCCCGGACCATGACAACCATCACGTCCCCGGCCGGCACCATTACTGAGCAGCATCAGCAGCAGCAGCAGCAGCAACAGCAGCAACAACAACAACAACAACAATCCAAAGCTACGGGCCTCTCTCGCTCAATATCCAAGCGCCTACCGTTTCTGGGTCGTTCGAAATCAAAACGAATAAACTCAAACAGTGGCGGCACCAACTATTCTCGACCATGCGCAGACCCTAGCCGCGCCAACTACATAAGCGATACTCCTACGACTCCAGCTCCTTCTCCATCTGTTCCTATGGCGTCTAGTGCGAGTGCCAATCGATCTCGGCCAGATGCTGCGAAGCTGAAGAAGCAAAAACCTCTTGCAGCGCGCTCTTTGACCGACCCTCAGATGCAACCTCAAAGTGGCGACATGCAGCAAACACTGGCGTGGACGCCTGGCCAGCCAGGGCTTATGCTGGATGTCGAAATTCCTGACATCAGCTTCGAGCGCTACAGTGTCATGTTTGAAAGCCTAATTGAGAAGCAGCAACAATCGGCAAGCAACTTGCTGGCGCGTCGGCAGGCGACGCTTGCCAGGATCAAGGCCAACGACGACGACATCCGAAGAGAGCATTTTTCACAAGTGCAACGGTCTCGACGAGCTACTTCGCCAGCCGCGACACCGATTCGCACGCCGATAGCTGAGCCGTCGGCAGAAGACTCGGCACACGATATCGATATCGTACCTCTGAGACTGCGATCAAATACGTTTCCCACGATTGCCAGCCAATCGCCACGGGCGCCTTCGCCAGAAGACCAAACCGACTCTCCCGGAGCATCGCTCTTGTCGCCAGATAGCCAGTTCTCTCTAGCCCCAGACAGCGAAGGCCGTCGACTTCTGCATTCCAAATTTCACAAGCCTTCGGTTGAGTCGATCCACAGCCCTTACTTCCGGCACGCTACGGAGCGAGAAACCGCCACCGCCCTCTCGCCTCCTCCGTGCTTTACGCGTCGTCTTCCCGATGGCGGCAGCGGCGGCAGCAACGTTGCGACGCCAGTCTACACGATGATGCCGCCGGCGAAGCAAATCGACATACCCTGCCGCTCCACGTCGTTGCGCAACACCCGCAAGCTGCCCGCCGCTGCCTCGCCCAAGCCCAAGCCGAACCCGAAACCGGCGAGCGTGGAGGAGGCGCTCGAGGACGCCGCCGAGGTGTCGATTGCGCGCCAAATCAGCATCTCGCGCGGTCAGCGCCGCTTTCTGGAGCCGCTGCACGAGCGCGAGCGCCGCCGCGCCCGGGCCAACCAGCACATCAAGGCCGCGAGCCAAATCTCCCTCGACGACGGCAAGCGCATCGCCGAGACCAAGACGGCCACGCCCATCGTCATCCACCCCGACCGCGAACAGCTCGGCGAGTCCTCCGCTTCGCCACGGCAGCACATGTACCGCCGGAGCGAGCAGGTGACCATTGAGGGCGCGTGAAGCAGCCAGAAAGCGGTCAGCGCGGCCGTCGCGGCCAGCCCCCCCCTTCCCCAAAGCCAATAGGAACAGGGCAATAACGGACCCGGACACCGTTTTGGGTTGTTTGCTCCCTCGGAAATCGCCTTTTTTTGGGGGGGGGGGGGGGGGATTTCCAAAAATGGTCGTCTGGGCAGTGTTTCGAGATGAAACTGAGCACGATGGCCCCATGCACAACATGAACAACCCCCCTCTCATAGTTTGTCCCGCCTGGGCTGGATCTCCGCCCCTCGCAAGTCACAACTTCTCTTTCCTCTTTCGACATGACGATATAACACAACAACATCACACGATCTCCAACGACTATATACTTTTCTTCTAGAGATTCATTTTCAGTCGCCTCGGCGCATCACTATTTTGCCTTCATCTTATCATCCGCTGGCGGAACTCTTCTTCTCTTCTCCCTGTCTACTTCTCTCTTTCCTTCATCAGTCTTTTGCTTTTTCTCTTGTTTTTTTTTTCGGAAGCGACGGTACGCATAACACACATATACACCCTTAGATATGACACAAAAGGCCAAAGTCTCTTTTTCCTCTCTGCTCGTATTTCAGATTTCTTCCTCGTAATATTAACTATAGTGCTGCTGTAAACAAAAGTCCATCGGACTCGGATTGTTTTCTTCTCATAAATATTAAGCCCGGCAAAAGCTGCCAAGAAGAGGCATGTGCGTAATGCTTGGAAAATATCTGCTGTAACAAAGTGACGGCATGGTGCCTGACGCGGCAGCGGGGGTGGGATGACATGAGAATCTGAAACGATTTGAGTATCCAACGCCAAAAGGATCTACCTGTTGCCGCTCTCATCTACATCAGAATGCAGCACGAGTTTTGCTTCTTGGCTTGTTCTGATAAGATCATGTCAGCATTTAGCCCCCAAAACTTTGCCGCGGCTAATTTAAATAAAGCGGGAAGCAAAAAAAGAAGGGGCATCTTGCGCGTTTGGGGCGATAGGGCTAACGTACGATAGAACATCTTGCTCTGAGCGCTGAGGCCGTCGCTCTTGGCCACCAAGTCGTCAATCTTTTCGCCGCGCTGTAGGACGCTCTCGATGGTCTTGTGCAACACAATCTTGGTCTCGTCGAGCTCCTTTTGGATCTTCATAATGCTGTCGGCCTGCTGGGGATCCTGATACTTGGAGAGGTACTCCTTGAGCTCCGGCATGACTAGCGTCGGCTGGCCGCTGGACCATGACGAGCGCGGGTTCTTGGCGAGAAACTCGTCGACGACCTTGCTGAGGACCTGATGGGCGACGAGCGCGGGGTACTGGTGATCCGAGATGATGATGCCGCAGATGCCCTCTGAGCGGCCGTAGGCATGGAAAGTGTAATCTGTTTGTGAGGGAGGTCCACAGGTATCAGCCTTTGTCACGCAACTGCCCATCGTCTGCCCAATGCGGGCCGGGATTAGTCAAGATTTACCTTGCTCTTCAACATCCTGGCGCTGTCCCGGTCGCGTGCGCTCGGCGACCGTCTTTGCGAACAATGTCATGAATTCGCCATAGCTAGAGGCCGGTTAGCGGGAGGCATCGCTCGGCTCGTCACCCCCCTTTGCCGGGTCGTAGGGAGGGGGAAGAGATTGTCGTCGAGAGAGAATGGCGGCGTACTTGTTTCGCGTAAATCGAGAGTACGAGCTGAGTTCCTTTTCGGCGACGAGCTCGTGCGCGGGCTTCTCTTCGTTGCGGATAATCTGTCGATGGAAAGGAGCGCCAGGTCAGCTGTGCGCACGCCCTCGGCTGGTATACGGGCGCGGGGTTCTGGACGAACATACTCCAATATAATGTAGCTTCATGATGACGGATATGTCGATTGAGAGAAGGTATGTCTGGATAGCGATGTGAGGTCGCCTTCTGCTTTCTTTGAAGATGGGAGAGATGGCAAATCGTGTATGCTGCAGACTAGCGACGAGTCGGTGACGGTGGCCTAGAGTTGCATCTCGTCACATGCCCCACGATTCGAAAACCCGCCCCTCCAACCCAGGAGGCAAGTGGGTAACAAAATCCGCTGTTCAACTCCAGCTCTTTTGCCCTTGATTTATAAACTCCGATGTCTGATTTTTTTTTTCTTTTCGAGTATGTGTAATTATGCTATTCCTTGCAACCGGTACCTGTGGTGAGGAAAATTGTCTGATGGCTAGTGGCGATTTTGTGTGTAACCTGCATGGTTATCTTCATCTCTCGCTAAAGACCTACGACAGTCCCTGAAGAGTTCGATCTATGTAACCCCACGCACGCATCACATCTGTTTTTTGGATTGCGCAGAACCCCAAAATACAGACAAAACATTTGGGCAAGAATCCAGCCGCACGCAATTTGAGTCTATGCTCAAGCGGCGTTTCCTTGTTACCGAGTCATTCGAGATTTACCGAACTGCACCCATTTACGAGGTGATAATCGCGGCCTCTTGGACTTGGCCCTCCCTCTGGTGTGCACTGCTGGCCATTATCCTCAACGAGTGGCGGAGACCTTTTGTTAACCAAATAATATTCTTGAACTCGACTGCACAGCCGTTACACACGAGGCTGTTCTGAAGACCAGCGGACACGTCGACATATCTGCCGACTGTATAAATAGAGGGATCTTGTTCAGGAATCCGAATGGCGACGTAGAGATCGAAGAGTCGACGGTTTTTGAGCACATGTTCAAATCAATCATTGACCCCAGCTCGGTAGCACCTGTCTTCTTCAGACTTGAACAGCCCAGGAACAGTCTCTGAACTTTCGCAAACCATTAGACTACTGCCAGGGTTCGATACCTGTTGTATTGGCTGTATCAGGAAGCCGTACGCAACGAGATTTCGCGTCTATATGGTCTTCTCCGACTCCGAGAAACATAATCGAGCTGGAGCAATTTGTCCATCCAGGGGGTCAGTAACCAAGCTCTTGAAAGCTTCTCTGAAATGTCCACGAGAAGACGCAGCTGTCTGGCGCAAATCACAGTCGCTACTGCCTCGATTTGGCCCTCAATCAAGACGCTCTGGAGTCTTTGGCCACAAAACTGGCCGAAAAGGCTATATGTCTGTCCCCTACTCCCAGATGGGAAAACAACTGCGAAGCTCTCCGCGGATGCTTTCTCAGTCAAAACTGTTACTCGCATCGAAGACACGCGTGATCATACGCCAAATATCACCGAGCCATCATTCAAAATTGGTAGAACTCTTGAGTACAGTGCCCAGCTTTCTGTGTACCCCGCACACACTGGAAAGCGCCACCATCCCTCTGAAAACCCGTGTTAGTCGCCAGAAGCTCCAACTTGGCCAATCGCCAAATAAGCTAGGCCAGATTCTCAATTCTGAACTTCAGACTCACCCTTACAGATCATGATGGTGCGATTTGGATGCTTCACAGTTCAATATTTCCGGCTTCTGAGCAGGAGTGCGTAAACTTTGCGGTGAATCACGACGGGCCCCAAGGGACGGACAAAGCGCAAACTGTGCACAACGTCGCGCTCAAGGCATTAGTGAAGGTACTTAGTCACTGATTCAAGATAGGACTTGATTTTTTTGAGGCACATTCTGGGGACATGTCTTGGAGCCGGTCATGTATAAGAAGACGAGGCTGCCCTCGTCGGACTGGGACCTCACCAACTCGCCTCAAAGTTACTTACAAAAACCTATCCGCTTTTATTCGTTGGAGAATCATGAAGTTCTTACACCTTATCACGGTGGTTCTTGCTGTTGTTTGTTTTCTGATACCGCTTTCTTCGGGACACGACAATTACACCACAGCGAACTGGTCGATCGCGCCTGGGATGCACCAGGATGGCCAGTTACCCGAACCAACTACTTCGCGTTACGTTATTGGCTAGTTAATTCTATGGCTATACTCATTTAGACGCGAAAGAAGCTGTTTGACTCCCCGCAGGGCTCAGGCGCGTGCAATGGGCGGGTCGGTGTCGTGCCGCTTCATAGCTGGTCTGTCTGTTGGCACCCCAAGACACGCTACAAAACCCTCGATCAACGCATTTGGTTCTTTTTAGTAAACAGATTTAGCTTCCATACCTAGGTCAATATAACAGAATATAAGCAGAACTGGCACATAAAATGTCCCATTCGAGCGGTACCCTAAATTAGAGATTCGCGCTCATGCTAGGCCCTCGGCAGGTCGTCGACGCTGAGTATTGTAGAATGTAAAATAAAGGCATATTTGCATTTTGAAACAAATAATATAGGCGCCAGGTACAGACTCAAGCGGCACAAGGATAAAACACATTGTACAAGGGTTAAAAGGCGGCTGTGTACCGTCACATCGTGTGTAAGCAGTGCTGCTCATGTTCCCCGACACTGGACATTGAAACTGTACGCAGCCGCACATCGCTGGCGCTTAGAAAACGCCGTAAAGACGTCTAGTAGAGTAATACAGCTACGAATGTTTATCGCACATGCATGTTTAAAAATATCTTCTAAGAACTGTTCGTAGCACGAGCTCTGAAGCGGTCGACTTGTACATGTCGGACTACTGCTCCTAATCGACCATAAAAAGACAGTGTCTCCTGCCGTCAGAACAAGCCTTTGCTTTATCCAGAGACAAAGGAAAGACTGTTGAGTGAAAAAGTAAGTGCTCATGCAGAGTCACCATGGAACTCCCGAAGACGGGAGCGCGCCTGGGCAGACGGTGGACGACTTTACCAGGGCTCTTAACCAGCAGGCCATGCCAAATCTAGTCGAATATGAAGAGAACCCGGCACTACTCGAGAGCAGGCGAGTAATCCACAGTCCACTAGAACAGGAAAGTCCACCCCAGTTCTCAAAACGAATTCTGGGGATACTCCAACATGCCGATGCTTTGGAAGCTGTCAGGCATACAGAACAGGAGCTGTATCAGCGACACGAAGCCATCTTACAGCGTGTGATTAAATTCGAAGACGTTCAAGAATTTGAATCGCGATCTGAAGAAAGACCGAAACGAACTCCAAATCGAAACAAGGAGTGCTTGTTGGCTGGGAGACCAGCAGCAAGGCTTGGCCCTGAAGCAGGCTTGGAAATGGAGAGGATAAAGGTGTTTCACCAGGAAGATGATAAATGCAGCGACAACACGAGGCAACAGCTTGAAGCCATGTCACCCCAAGATAAGAAAATGTTAGCTAGGTACTTCGTACGGCGACGCTGGGAAAGAGTCGGGGTTTGGAATAGGCTTTGGGAGTTTACCAAGGATCCAAAGACGAATTGGACATGGGCGTGGCAGAAACCCCGAAAACAATATAGCATTGGAGTTCTGATGCTTGTTCGCGAAGCAATCAAAGACTGCGGTGCCATGAGTCCAGGCCAGTACGGCAAGCTGAAGTACGAAACTGCTCTCCAGCAAAGTCAAATACCGGAAGAGGGCTGGACTCGTGAGCAAGGCGACAATTTTATCGGTTCCCGGCCGTGGTTTGCCTTTCAGGTCGAGTGCATGGTGGAATCGACAAGGAGAGACAAGGTCACAATAGACGACCAACAGCGCTGGCCGACAGCAGCAGACGATTTTATCCGCAGGCAGTGGATGGAGAAGGGCATCTGGGACGACAAGTGGGATGACCTGGGACGGGTACTGAACGAGTCAATGGTTGGGTGGAGGTGGAAGGGGGAAGGGGATGAGCCTGAAGGGGCAGACTTGGAGGAGCTGAACAGCATGGACGAGATAGTTTCCACGCTGAGACGCGCTGAGGGCAGGAGGTTAAACCATGGTACGTCTGGCGGGTGGCGGGAGTCACCAGGAGCGA